AAAATGGGTCGCAAGGGTATTCTGAGGACGGACAGCAGCTAAAACTAATGGAGAGCAAAAAATGGGTCGCAGAATACTCTTGCGACCCATTGTTTGCTCTCCATTAGTCTAAAGGGTAATCCAGACATGGACCCCTTGCTCACGGTGCCTAGAGAGATATCAGCTATGCCTCACTGACGATGCCTAACAAGGCTGAAACAATTGTCTGGGGTTGCTGTATCTTTCGTGCAGAGAGAACTTGCTGGCATTTCGGGTCTGGACTGATATGCTTCAGATATGTTCTCTCTGTAATGGCACTGTGACGAAGTGCCCTTCGCCACTTGGTCCTGGAGAGGCCTACTTGCCAGCCTCCTCCCCTGAGACTATGACTCTTTCATGTATCTGGCTTTAAAGCCCCTAGTCTACCTTCAGACAGACTATTTATGTAGGCTGCTTTATTTATCTTATGTTTTAGTCACCCTGTACCCATTATAGGTGCAGGGTGTGTGTGTGTGTACTGTGTAATGTATTGCCTGCTCTCTTGTATTGCTGAGGTTTGCTACCAATTAGGTGGGTTTGGCTATGGAGCTGGTCTAGTGCCCTCTGTTGGTAGCAACAGCAATATGCACTACCTGAATTGCAAGACTGGTTCATTTGCATATTCAGGTAGATTTGCATATTGCTAATTCTGCAGGCAGGTGAGATATTTACTGTTAAATATTGTCTCCCCCTACCCCTTTAAAAATGTGCCATTGTGTTGTGATAAGTCACTGTGTGTTGCTTGATTTGGTTTGACTGTTTGTGATTTTATTGAGTTTTCACAACAATGTTATTGTGGTGACCCTATTGGCTGGTCCCAAGGGAATAAAGGTTTTGACAGTTCTTCTTGATCCCTCTAAACGTAGCCTTGTCTCGTTATTGGAGGGAGCTGTTATAATCACACTGGGGATTGCTATGCTCTGCATGCTCCCCTGAGCTTGAGTCACTTAGCTCTTTTAAGAGCTTGTTCCTGGCACGCTCTCCTTGGAGGAAGAGTTCTTTCCCACACAGTCCTGGAGGACAGAAGCTGATCCAGGGTGGAAGGAAGACGGCAAAACTCCAGTCAAGATACGGCGGTTGTGGAGTCTGCGGTGGTTGTGGTGTCTGCTGCAGTGCTTGGGAGTCCTCAGGAAGCGCTAGGAGCATCCATCAACGGAGGGTACTCAGTCGGAGTACAAGGAGCTCCGTTACAGGCACAAGTTGAGCTAAAACCAGCATGAGTTCTGAAAGGGGACCCACCGAAGAGCAGGCTATTTTAGCTGCTGTCCGTTCTCAGAATACTCTTGTGACCCATTGTTTGCTCTCCATTAGTCTTAAGGGTAATCAAGACGTGGACCCCTTGCTCATGGTGCCTAGAGAGATATCAGCTATGCCTCACTGACGATGCCTAACAAGGCTGAAACGATCATCTGGGGTTGCTGTATCTCTCGTGCAGAGAGAACTTGCTGGCATTTCGGGTCTGGACTGCCCGTATGGGTGGGACCAGTCTGATATGCTTCAGATATGTTCTCTCTGTAATGGCAAAAGTTGAGCTAAAACCAGCATGAGTTCTGAGCGGGGACCCACCGAAGGGCAGGCTATTTTAGCTGCTGTCCGTTCTCAGAATACTCTTGCGACCCATTGTTTGCTCTCCATTAGTCTAAAGGGTAATCCAGACGTGGACCCCTTGCTCACGGTGCCTAGAGAGATATCAGCTATGCCTCACTGACGATGCCTAACAAGGCTGAAACGATCGTCTGGGGTTGCTGTATCTCTCGTGCAGAGAGAACTTGCTGGCATTTCGGGTCTGGACTGCCCGTATGGGTGGGACCAGTCTGATATGCTTCAGATATGTTCTCTCTGTAATGGCAAAAGTTGAGCTAAAACCAGCATGAGTTCTGAGCGGGGACCCACCGAAGGGCAGGCTATTTTAGCTGCTGTCCGTTCTCAGAATACTCTTGCGACCCATTGTTTGCTCTCCTTTCCTGTGTTAACCTCTACCACTTCAGCTGGAAGGCTATTCCATGCATCCACTACCCTCTCCGTAAAGTAATAATTCCTGATATTATTTTAAACCTTTGCCCCTCTAATTTAAGACTATGTCCTCTTGTTGTGGTAGTTTTTCTTCTTTTAAATATGGTCTCCTCCTTTACTGTGTTGATTCCCTTTATGTATTTGAGTGTTTCTATCATATCCCCCCTGTCTTGTCTTTCCTCCAAGCTGTACAGGTTAAGTTCCTTTAACCTTTCCTGGTAAGTTTTATCCTGCAATCCATGAACCAGTGTAGTAGCCCTTCTCTGAACTCTCTCTAAAGTATCAATATCCTTCTGAAGATCCGGTCTCTAGTATTGCGTACAATACTCCAAGTGAGGTCTCACCAGTGTTCTGTACAATGGCATGAGCACTTCCCTCTTTCTACTGCTAATACCTCTCCCTATACAACCAAGCATTCTGCTAGCATTTCCTGCTGCTCTATTACATTGTCTGCCTACCTTTCAGTCATCAGAAATAATCACCCCTAAATCTCTTTCCTCAGATGTTGAGGTTAGGACTCTATCAAATATTCTGTACTCTGCCCTTGGGTTTTTACGTCCAAAATGCATTATCTTGCACTTATCCACATTAAATGTCAGTTGCCACAACTCTGACCATTTTTCTAGTTTACCTAAATCATTTGCCCTTTGGCTTATCCCTCCTGGAACATCAACCCTGTTACATATCTTAGTATCATCAGCAAAAAGACACACCTTACCATCAAGACCTTCTGCAATATCACTTATCAAAATATTAAAGAGAATGGGTCCAAGTACAGATCCCCAAGGTACCCCACTGGTGACAAGCCCAAGCTTTGAATATACTCCATTGACTACAACCCTCTGTTGCCTGTCACTCACCCACTGCCTTACCTATTCAACAACATTGGAATCCAAACTTAAAGATTGCAATTTATTGATAAGCTTTCTATGTGCAACAGTGTCAAAAGCCTTACTGAAATCTAGTTAAGCAATGTCTGCTGCACCACCCTGATCTATTATTTTAGTTACCCAATCAAAAAAATCAATAAGATTAGTTTGGCATGGTCTCCCTGAAGTAAATCCATGTTGTCTCTGATCTTGAAATCCATGTGTTTTTAGATGTTTAACAATCCTGTACTTTAACATGGTTTCCATCACTTTCCCGACTACTGAAGTAAGGCTTACTGGCCTATAGTTGCCGGACTCCTCCCTACTAACTTTCTTGTGAATGGGCACAACATTCGCTAACTTCCAATCTTCTCGTGACTACTCCTGTTAACAAGGATTGGTTAAATAAATCTGTTAATGGTTTTGCTAGTACACCACTAAGCTCTTTTAATAACTTTGGGTGTATTCCATCAGGTCCCATTGACTTATTTGTCTTTACTTTTGACAGTTGAAATAGAACCTCTTCCTCTTTATAAAATCACAAGTAATAAATTACTAATTTGTCCCTTTTCCTAACTGAGGTCCCTTTCCTTCATTTTCATCTGTAAATACTGAACAACAATATTCATTGAGGCAGTCAGCTAGACCTTTATCCTCTTCTACATACCTTCCTTCTTTTGTTTTTAATCTAACTAATTCTTGTTTTACTTTCCTTTTCTCATTTATGTATCTAAAAAATGTCTTGTCCCCTTTTTTTACTGACTGTAATATTTTCTCTTTTGTGTGTGATTTGGAAGCTCTTATGACTTGCTTAGCCTTTTTCTACTTAATCTTATAGATAATTTTGTCTTCCTCACTCTGAGTTTTTTTATAATTCCTAAATGCTAACTTTTTGTTTTTTACTATATTGGCCACATCTGGGGAGTACCACAGTGGCTTCTTGCATTTTTTTGCTTTTACTGACAAGCCTAATGCAATTTTCTGTTGCCTTCAGTAGTGCAATTTTTACATAATCCCATTTCTCTTGGACTCCATTTAAATTGCTCCAGTCTGATAATGACTCCTTTACACTTATTCTAATAGAAAAGTCTGTTTTTTTTTTTAAAGTCTAAAACTTTTGTTTTTGTGTGGTGTGACTCAGTCACTGTTCTTATATTAAACCACACTGACTGATGATCACTGGATGCTAAACTTTCACCTACAGTAATATCTGATACCAAATCTCCATTTGTTAACACTAAATCTAGTATGGCCTCTTTATGAGTTGGCTCCTCAACGACTTGTTTTAGAGACAATCCCAGTAGGGAGTTTAGAATATGTGTGCTCCTGGCACAAGCAGCTATTTTGGTTTTCCAATTCACATCAGGAAGATTAAAGTCACTCTTGATTATAACTTCCCCCTTTATTGTCATTTTACCTATTTCCTCAACTAGTAGATTATCTAACTCTTCTATTTGTCCAGGGGGGCCTATAAATCACACCTACACGAGTTACTGAGTGATTACCAAATTCTAACGTAACCCAAACGGACTCTATGTTCGCCTCACTAACTTTTATCAGGCTAAATTTTATGCTATCCTTCACATACAGGGCCACCTCTCCCCCTTTCTTGCCTTCCCTGTCTTTTCTATATATCACAGCGACTAAATCTACACTATCAGTTGCCATTATTGCCACAAGTTCATGGATCTTATTCCCTAAACTGCGAGCATTTGTAGACATGACTCTAAGCTTATCATGTTTTAACACACTTGCTACAAGCACCTTCTGTCCTTGTTTTGGGGGGCAAATGGATTGATGTTTTATCACCCTTTTGCCCCCCCCCCCCCTAGTTTAAATACACAAACACAAACAGTGTTATCTGCAAAAGGCCTGAAGGGAATGATTCTACTCACCAAATTAGCTGTAGTTGTTCTGGTGACTATAGTGTCTCGTTAAGTAAAACATTTTTTTTTGTTTAATATAGCATTATATTAATATATTATAAATATAATTTAATATATAAGGATCTCTTTACATGGTCTCACACACTAGTAGACAAGCTCTTACTGACGTTCACAAACAGTGTCACTAAAACACAAAAGCACACCTGTAACGAACCGTTTTGCACACAAGAGGTTAAAAACCATGTAACGGATCACCTGGCACCCCGACTGGGTACCTCCGTTAAAGGATGCTCCGAGCGCTTCCTGAGGACTCCAAGCACTGCAGCAGACACCACAACCACCGAACCGGAGAAGCATATGAATCCTCTCAAGCATTTGAATGCTGTAGACAGTTGCATAGGAACCATACGAATAGGTTTACTCTCCTAGCAGTCAAACTGGAACAGCATACAATAAATCCTTCCCCCAATAATGAGACGACACTTCACTTTGAGGGTTAAAACAGGAACTCTCTGTACTGTCCCATACAGTCTCTTTTATTCCCAATCCACAAACATAGTACAGCCCACAGGGCGTTACAAAACAACCAATCAATCCGTACAATACACCCAGACACTCCCACACAAAATCCTCCCCTCTGGCTGTGATATGATTACTGAACACAATGGGTAATCTAATTATCACAGAGAGAGAAATACAGTTTCATAAAACACATCACAGGGACCCAAAACATGCAATAACCCCAAAAAGTATATCCTTGGAACTGGGGGATCTGGGTGAACCACATATCCAAAATTCACCCAGATCCATTCAGTACTTTGGAAAATACAGTTTAATGCAGATTCTGCAGAACATATACAGGCTAAATAAAAAACAATCACTGTATAATGTGTCCCCTGCTGTATAGTCCAAAACCACCGCACGATGTCTCTGTGCAACAAATACTGGTGAGATGGCACCGTGTTGAAAAGTCCAAACAGTGTCTGTGAGTTAAAATGGCCGCCATCCATTGTTCTCAACATGTGCTTCTGATACAGGAAATGGTGGCCAGCCAGTAACTGCACAGTATGTCCCCAGATGGTTCTTAAAAGGGCCAGCAGCAGCACAACACAATTCCATCATGCCCAAATCATGTCTTTAAAGGGCAATACATCCCAGGGGCTATAGTCACATGGCAGGAGGCTGGCAACCAGGCTTCTCCAGTGCATAGTGGCGAGGTTGGTTCCGCCACAAACCATTTAGGCAATATTCCCCTTTTCAGATGCACAGGCACAGCAACTGCAGAACACCAAACTTCGGAACTGAATACAAGGGAATGCTCCAAACTCCCCAACTTGATACAAGGTAGCACTCCAAACTCCCGAACTGGAACCTCACGAATAGCTGCTACCAGACGAACAGGAAAAGCACCCAAGCGGCTTACACTCCTAGCAATCAGTCTCTAGCAGCATGCAGTAAATCCCCCCAGAGACGAATCAGAGCTCCGTGTTGTGGGTCAAGCAGTGGTCTGGTTTAATGTGGGCTACCTGCCCTGGTGGACACTCCCCTAGGGGACCAGATGGAGGAGAGGACTGGGACACAAACAGTAAAATGACCAATCACAGACATACAGGGTTAAAACACTCCCACAGTACATTACAATCCCTCCCCTCTATCCTGGAGATAATTGGGCAGTAATCCAATTATCTCCAAGGACAGAGGCAAAACTCCATTAACCACATGGTTACAACAAAACACTAATATACAATAAAATACATAATGTTACATTTGTCACGTAAAATATATACATGTAACCCATCCCCAGATAGCTGGGATCTGAGCACACAAAAGTACTGAATAGCGCTCAAATCCTATGCACACAGTCCAATCGCTGTGAAGTTAAAGTGTTCACAAAGTCTGTTCTCCATAGGAATAGACTCCATGGGATGGCTATCTGGGGTAATGCTGTTCATACAGTTTAAACTACAGAATGAACAGGCATCCGGTTAAATGACCGAATGCAGAAGCAAGGAGGCTGACGGCTCAGCGGTGTTTGTGCAAATAAGTGTCCGTTTCCAGTTCCATAGTTTGGGTGCTGAACACCGCTGGCCACTCGGGACTTTAAAATGGCCGCTGCCACGTGTTCGGCAAACGAACAAAGGCCACCCAGCATTTGTCAATTAAGCTGCGGTTAACCGCAGCTTCTGGGAGGTAAATTGCCGACACACTCCCAGGTGGTCCAGTCAATCGGTTGTTTGTTTGGTAGATTGAATCTACCGAACACCGGGCAGAAAGGCACGAATAAGCCTTTTCTGCAGGGGAAAATAAGGCTTTTTAACATGGGGCCATAGTCCAGAGGCAACAAGTGGGCAACCAGGCTTCTCCAATGCAATGTGGCGAGATTGGTCTCGTCACAACACCACTTTACATAAAGTCACACATTATTTACACACACACACATTTACAAACATGCACACACACACACACATGCACACAATAAACAGTCTCCCTTAGCCTCCAGATATGCCATACCAGAGTGCTGTGGAGAAGGGGACCAACCTGCAGAAAGTGATACAGGAGTCTATTGAGCCCACCAGATTTTTATTTGTTTTTACTTTTTAATGTGGCTGATGGCTAGCAAGCACTGGTCAGCCACCACATGATTAACCCTCACACTGCTAACTGCTAGCACTGCAAGTGGGAAAATAGTTATTTAACTTATTATTCGCTTGCAAAAAAAGTGAATGATAATTTGCGAACGTTCATCTTGCTGTTTGCGTTCGGTTTATCTTTGACTGCCATGCGGTTGTTGATAAATCTTTGATGCTTTAAATTGGGTCATATTTGGATATTGGCATTTTTCTGAATGCTTTTAAACTAATTTTACAGAATCTGTTGGACTGACTCAATCCTGAAATCAGTTAGCTATAGTAAATCTGTGAATTGCCGATGCAGTCCGAATTCAGTCATTTTCACACAGTCTATTCAATAACCTTGTTAATATTCTGATTTGTATCATTATCCAAAAAGTGAAGTCCTTCTGGACTCCTACTGATTGAGCTTTAGTAGAATTTTGTGAATCTCATCACACAAGTTTACATACATTTCTTCTATCCTAAACCATGTAAACGTCTATTTCACGATGTTTTGACAGAGGATCTAGATACAGTTGGAAATGTCGCTTTAAAGTTTTATTGTCTACAATTATGAGTTCATCTTTCCTTGGCTTTAGAGTCTTTCAAGTTTAATAAAGCCATTCAACGCCCACCATAAAGCCATCCTGTAATAAACACTTTCAGTTCTTGTCATCTTTTGGCAGTTAATATGTTCTTATAATAATGTAGCTAATGTTTTTGTTTTTGTTGAAGCTCGGACTTATGAATAACGTCAACTGCTCAGAAGACATAAAACCTCCACCCGGTTTGAGTGGGTTGGCGAGTCCTTGTGTTAATAGCTATTCCTGCAACAGTCCTTCAGCATTGAGCAAACACATCTGTGCCATCTGTGGGGACAGATCTTCAGGTAACTGCTGTTTTCACTTGACACTTTACACTCAGTGTCAATCCAGTGAACTATACTGTCCTTTGGAACTTTGGCCACTTTGGGAACATTGGAAAACCCAACCTGCCCTTTAAAATCGGTTTCTGCAATGCCAAGCTCCTCTTGTTTAACAGAATTAACATTAAGGGTGCAAACAGCGGACAGGAGAAGGTCATCGGCAGGTCAGAGAGACCGAGAAGGACCTACGAATTAGTGAAGAAATATAACAGGGGCCAGAGTTTGTTTAGAGCATTATAGGTAAGGGTTAGTATTTTGAATGGACTCCTATAAGATACAGAAAGCCAGTGTAATGATAGACAGAGGGGTGAGATGTGAGTGGAGCGACAGGAGAGAAAGATCAGCCTGGCGGAATTCATTCATTGCAGATTGTAGCGAGGCAGTATGGCTGCTGGGGAGACCAATTAATTACAGAGCATGAACAAGCTCCTGACCAGCATCTTGTGCAACTAAGGACTTTGTGCGGGAATATTTATTTAAGGTGGAGGTGACAGGTTTTGGCAGACTGGACATGAGACGCAAATGTGATAACACCAAGACAGCTAACTAGCAAGGATGAGCTAATATGGGTACTATCAAGTGAAAGAGGAAGATTTGTATTATAAAGGTGGTAAAACAAGCTCAGTTTTAGAGAAATTGAATTTCAAAAAAGCGGGAGGACATTTGATTAGAGATGGAAGAAAGGCCACCAGTGACACGTTGTAGGACAGTGGGGGAGAGATCAGAAGAGGAGAGCTATATCTGGGTGTCATCAGTGTACAGCTGGTAGCAAATTCCAAATGAATTAATACTTTTGCCAAGAGAGGCAGTATAAAGTGAAAACAGAAGGGGACCAAGAACAGAGCATTGGGGGACTTGAGGGGAGGAGGTATTATAAAAAAAAAAAGACACCGAATGAACATTGTGAGTAATAGGAGGAGAACCATGACTGATCAGTGTCACAGAGAGCAGTGTTCGAAGAGTTTGAAGAAGGAGGACACAATCAACAGTGTCAAAAGCAGCAGAGAGGCCAAGAAGTATTAGTATAGAGTAGTGGATCTAGCTGTGATTAGATCATTTGTAACTTTAGTAAGAGCAGTCTAAGTAGAGTGGAGGGAACGGAAGCCAGATTGAAGAGGATTGATAAGAGGGTTGGAATTGAGGAAGCAAGCCAAAGTAAAGACACGTCTTTCTAGAAGCTTTGAGGAAAAAGGGAAGGGTATGGGACAATAGTTGAAAGGGGAAGAAGGCTCAAGAGATTACATTTTTAGGATGGTTTTGACAGTAGCATGTTTAAGGGGAGCAGTAACAATGCCAGAAAAAAAGAGAGCATATGAATATACACATTAAGGGGAGCAGGGACAATGCCAGAAGACAAAGGGAGAGAGATCTGAAAAGGTGAGATGAGACGGGATCAAGTGGGGAAGTGGTGGGGTGAATGGAAAGAAGAAGCACAGTCATCTTTTGTTTGTTGGCGAGAAGGCCTGAAGCATAGGAAAGGCACATTTGAAGTGCGACATGAGAGAGAGAAGAGTCTAGAAGTTTAATCTTGTCAGTAAAGCAGCATGCAACGCTATCAGCTGTACGATTAGTTGGGAGCTGGTCACAGCAGGTTGAAGAAGAGAGTTGAAGGTATCAAAGAGACACCTGGGACTGTGGGATCATGAACTAATGAAAGAGGAAAAGTATGACTGTGTAAGATCTGCACTGTACGAACGCACAATGAATTCATAATGGAGAAAGTCTGACAAGGTGCGAGATTTCCACCAGTAGCTGAATGGGAGCACCTCTGCAGGTAGTATGTTGACTGGCCATAGTTGGAGACGCGTCCTCCTTGAGGTCTATGTTTGGAGTGGGGCTGCAGCGTCCAGGGCAGTGGTGAGGTTTGTGTTATATAAGAAAATAGCCAGAGAAGGACAGGTGAAAGTAGGGATGAATGAGAGTTAAGAATGGATATCAGCTGAGAGTTGACGGAGGTTAATACAATGCAGCTTCCTCCTAAGTTGAAGAAGGTTAGGTAAGAATGATGGGTGAGGTTTGCTCTCAAGAACAATGATTAAAGGTGGTGACACGGAAAGGGAAATTGTAATGTCACAGAGATTAGAGATCATACATGCATCTAAAAAAAAAAAAAAGATTGAGGGTTCTGTTAGCTTCATGTGTGGAAGAATCATCCCAGTGGGATAGACGAAGGGAAGAAAGAAGTTTTGAGGCTATTGAGGTCAAGAGTTGGTACATGGGGATGTTGACGTCCATAAGAATTATGGATGGAATATTGGTGGAAAGAAACAGGGAGGCCAGGAAGCAAAATGGTCAAGTATGAGCAGAGAGGAACCAGGGGGTGGTAAATAACGTCAATGTTTGCAGAGATGGGTTTGAATAAGGGCAATATAGCTAATATTAATTACTTTGTTAAATCTGAACCTTCAGGCAAACACTACGGCGTATACAGCTGTGAAGGTTGTAAAGGATTTTTTAAACGAACCATAAGAAAGGACTTGATCTACACTTGTCGAGACAACAAGGATTGCTTAATTGACAAACGCCAGCGCAATAGATGCCAGTACTGTCGTTATCAGAAGTGTTTGGCCACGGGCATGAAAAGGGAAGGTGTGTATCTTCAATGACTCCCTTTAAAACTTCCATGAATGTACAATGGTGTTTTAGTAAATTAACATGTAACGTAATAGCATTTTACTGTGTAAAAGATCTCTGTATTCCAAACGTTTTACTCTTTGAGGAACCATATGTCCACTCTGTTCTGCTTGTTTGAGGATGCCCATAAAGATATTAAAGTTGTCTTCTTGGTTTTGGACCTTTAGAAGGTTTTTAAAGAATAAACAAAAAGATGTGCAGCACTTCTTATTCTAAACAATGTGTCACATTGCTTAATGAAGACACTCAGTGAAAACTTTGCTGTTTTACCAATAAAGGGATGTAATCTTTTCACAATATAGAGAGAAATAAAAAATCTTTTTGGTGTATTCTTTGATACTTAAGGCGGAGCTGGAGTCATTGCACTCTTACGAAAAATACTATTGTTATTTAAGAAGATTTTTGGTGTGGTTCAAATGTTTATTACAAACAATAATATAAACAATGTACAATAAAAAGTTTAAACCCCAACGTCCGATGTGTGACGCAGCAGGAGCAAATATTGACATCTCTTGAAATATCTCAAAACTTGTATTTTTATATTAGTTGGAAGTCTGCTTAAATGGTAAGAATTTACATTTTGGAATTAATAAAGCCTGATTTTGTACTTCCATTCTTTATTCTTTAATGACATATATCAACTTTCTCATCATCAGCGGTGCAAGAAGAGAGGCAAAGAAGTCGAGACAAGAGTGACACAGAAGCCGAATTGACATGCAGTTCAAGTGAGGAAATGCCGGTGGAGAGAATACTAGATGCTGAACTTGCTGTGGAACCTAAACTCGAGGCATTTGGAGATGGCAGTTTGCCCAATTCTGTAAGCAAACTTTAGTATAGTAAATTTCAAGGTGCCTTTGGTTACCTATATTAGCGTGTATAGGTATAAATCACAGTGAGGAAGATGGAGGAACTGAGTCTCAATAACCATAAACCAAAAAAGGCTACTGAAAATAATCTATCCATGTGTTACCTCGGTACTGTGGACTAACTACTAATGCCTACCTAATCCAGTCTCCATGCCTAAAACTAAATAAAAATAAACTAGTGTGACAACCATCTCTCTGTGGATTACGTTTATCTGGTGCTCATTCATCTGTGTTCGTGCCTTTTCTTGTCCGAAGGGGTCCTGTGTTATTTCCCCTTTTTCCCAGCCGAACGGCCGGCCTCCCAGCGGGAAAGTGTGCTGCTTGTTAACCTCTTGGCCTCATTAGAACGTTGCGGTTAACCACAGACACTTCCTCTTGTTAATGGTAGGCTGGGTGGTCGTAGTTCGTATCAACGAACACAAGGAGGCGGCCATCTTGCACATACAAACACCCATAGGTGTTCGTCAACGATTCCGTGGAACTAAAAACGGCTACTATTTTCATACGAACACCACTGAAACCGCCGACCTCCCTTCCTCTGTTTCATCTATTCATACGAACGATGGCTGTTCAGCACATTTTCATACGAACAGAGCCACCCTCAGATAGCCATCCCATGGAGCCCATTCGTATATCGAAAGGACTATGTGAAAGACTGGCTCCATGGCGATTGAACTATGTGCATAGGATCCGAGCGCTATTCAGTAGTTTTGTGTGCTCAGATGCCAGCTATCTGGGGATACGTTAAATGCGAATATTCTGTTGGGGAATTGTGAAGTTATATATTTTTGTGTATTTCTGTTACACTGTATAAAATTGAGTTTTGCCTCTATCCTCGGAGATAATTGAGTTACTTCCCAATTATCTCCAGGATAGAAAGGAGGGTCCTGTACAGCTAAAGGGGAGTGATTATGTGTATAATATTGTGATTGGCTATTGTAATATTGTCCCAGTTTTCCTGCATGCCTGTGACTGGTCATTTTACAATTTGTGTCCCAGTCCTCCATCTGGTCCCCTAGGCGAGTGTCCACCTGCATAAATACCGGGCAGGCAGCCCACATTAAACCAGATTCCTGCTGCCCCTCAATACGGAGCTTTGTCTCGTATTTGAAGGGAATTATTTGTATGTTTTTCTCCTGTTCGGCTGTTTGGAGCATTCGTATGGTGTGGATGATTCGTATGATTTCTGTTCGGCTGTTTGGAGGGATTGGTAGCTGCCTTTGCATTCGGAAAGGGAACATCTTACACGGCTTTAACCTCTTCTATACCTGGGGTGCCGTAACAACTAGTGCATACTAAATTAAAGTGCTACCAAGTGAAAACAAAAAAAGAGAGAGCTCAACGCGCGTGTCGGTGTGTCAGCTCGCACATCGTCGTCAGTAGTGGTAGCACTTTAATTTATGCAATAGTTTATTTTGATTTAACATTAGGCAGCGAGACTGGTTGAGGTAGGCATTAGTGGTTAGTCCACGGTGCCGAGGTAACACAGGGATAGATTCTTTTAGCAGCCTTTTTTGGTTTATGGTTATTGAGGTTCAGTTTCTCCATCTTTCTCCCTGTGATTTTTACCTTTAGCTATACCTGCCACTAGTATACACACAGGGAGTGTGTTGAGCCAGGGGTTCTGACATTATTTGGATTTTTTAGACATATTGTGTGTCTGTCCAGTTGGACCTTAGCTCGTTTGTACATACACCTTACCAGCTGTATAAGTGTAATTTTCCCTCTACACTAACTTTTTACCTGCTATTCTCTCATCCTTAGAAGCTTGAAAGGTCGGAAATCCTCTCCTTTTCATTGTTACTCTCTCCTTAGGGCCTTCACTGGTCCGCTACATATTTTTTCAGTTCCATACTGTTCCACATGAGAGAACTACAGAAGTCATGGGTTTTTGCAAATAAATAATGTTTCTAATAGTTTTGTATCATTCGGAAAGCTTATTAAATTAAGACCTAACTTATAAGGGAAGGGATGGGTAAATAGTGGCACATAGTAACAGACATAGACCTCAATTTAATATTGTTTAATAAGCTTTCCAAATGATTCATTATTTTGGATAATTAATTAATATTATGAAAATAATTTTTTATAGTATATTGACATGTTTTTTTTTTTATATGTGATTAATGTTTTAATGTTTTAATATATAGAAAAAAATATTTGCAAAGTTTATCACAAAATATTTATTCAGATGGAAATCTCTCCAACAATAATAAACCAATTATATAATATAGCTATTCATATACAGCTATGGGAATAGTAATATGATGATAAAAAAGCTCTGCGTCTCGCGTGTCCGTATCTGTATCGATAAGAAGGTAAAGTCAATGTGCCACTAACAGGGAAGGTGTTCCTTGAGGTCACATATCGAATAAAACATTAAAATCACCCATGACGTGTGTTAGCCATATTTTCGTGAGATGATCTGGTCTCTTTTAAATATTTAGCAAATCTCATCACAATCCAGCTACATCCTGGCACAGCCAAGGCACGCATTGCATTGGAGGAGGAGATGCAGAATCTTTGGGGATATTTATCAAAGCGTTCTGAAAAGTTAAAGATTACTTTTCGTCGTTGCCTGATCATTTTATTTAAAGTAATCTAAAAAATTTAATTTTTTATTCGAGTAAATTCTTTAAGTTTTTACACAAATTTCCATTTTGGAAAAATACAGCTCAGAGAAGTCACCTACTCTGGGCAATTGCTGCCTCTTGAGTTTATCTCCACTGAGCTAAACAAACCAGGAAGTAACATTACCTGTCAGCTGCTTAAAAGCCAAGAGGGTGTAACCATTTTCGTTTATAAAAGTGTCTGTTTCTATTGAAACCTGCACTCACACTCATAAAGCATTCACTCATAAAGCATTTCACAAACTAAAGTGCTTTAGGGGTCTGGAGTGTCCCTTCAAGCTTTTTAAATAATTTAATATTTTTGAATAAACATTTTTTTTTAAATCTAAATATTAAAATATTTGTCAAAATATTAAATAATTTTAAAGCTTTATGCAAGGATTTCAAACCGTTTGAAACAATATTAAATCCAGGTTTTAATTTGATGACTTTTTTGTTATTAATACAGACATTTCTTTACAGGTCTACATTCAATTTGAGGGTCTTTTACGTGTGTTTTGTTTTCCGTCCCAGACAAGTGACCCAGTTTCTAATATATGCCATGCAGCTGACAAGCAACTGTTCACCTTGGTAGAATGGGCAAAGAGAATACCACATTTTTCTGACTTACCTTTAGAAGATCAAGTGATTCTATTGCGAGCAGGTAATTTTTAAACTTAATTTATTTTACATAGTTACATAGTTACATAGTTACATAGTTGGAAAGAGACGTGCGACCATCAAGCTCAGCCTCCCTCACATTTGTTTTTGCTGTTGATCAAAAAGAAGGCAAAAAACCTAGTCTGAAGCACTTCCAATTTTGCAACAAACTAGGAAAAAATTCCTTCTTGACCCCAAAATAGCAGTCAGATGTATCCTTGGATCAAGCAGTTATTACCCCACTAATTAGAAATTATATCCCTGTATGTTATATTTTTGCCAGTATTTATCCAATTGCAGTTTAAACATCTGTATAGACTCTGACAAAACCACCTCTTCAGGCAGAGAATTCCATATCATTATTGTTCTTACTGTAAAAAAAACTTTTCTTTGCCTTAGATGAAATCTCCTTTCTTCCAGCCTAAATGTGTGACCTCGTGTCCTATGTATAGCCCTGTTTATGAATAGATTTCCAGATAAAGGTTTGTACTGGTCCCGAATATATTTGTATAAAGTTATCATATCCCCTCTCAAGCGCCGTTTTTCCAAACTAAACAGATTTAATTTTTTTAACCTTTCTTCATAACTAAAATGCTCCATTCCTTTTATCAATTTTGTAGCTCGTCTCTGGACCCTCTCCAGAGCCATGATATCCTTCTTTAGAACAGGCGCCCAAAATTGCACAGCATATTCAAGGTGTGGTCTTACCAGCGATTTATAAAGAGGCAAAATTATATTTTCATCCCTATTTATACATGACAAAACCTTACTGGTCTTAGCAACAGCAGACTGACATTGCATATTGCTGCCTAATTTATTGTCTATAACAATTCCCAAATCCTTCTTGTGTGTGGTTATCCCTAATTCACTACCATTTATGGTGTAAGTTTCTTGTGCATTCTTGACCCCGAAGTGCATAACTTTGCATTTCTCTACATTCAATTTCATCTGCCGTTTTAGTGCCCAATCTATCCAAATCCCTCTGCAGCAAAGCAATAGCCCGTTTACATTTTATTACTTTACAAAGTTTTGTGTCATCTGTTAACACAGAAACATGGCTCTCAATGCCCATTTCAAGATCATTTATAAATATGTTAAACAGAAGCGGTCCCAAAACAGAACCCTGAGGGACACCACTTACCACTTTTGTCCAGCCTGAAAATGTAACATTAATGACAACTCGTTGTACTCTATTATTAAGCCAATGTTCTACCCAAGAACAAGAATAATCATCTAGACCAATTTCTTTTAGTTTAAAGACTAACCTATTGTGAGGAACCAAATCAAATGCCTTGGCAAAATCCAAGTAGATCACATCCATTGCAACACCCTGATCTATACTTCTACTTACTTATTTGTAGAATGCAATTAGGTTAGTTTGACATGACCCATGTTTCATAAGACCATGCTGATTATTGGTAATAACAAAGTTCTTTCCAATTAATTCCTGAATATTATCCCTTAATAGCCCTTCAAATATTTTCCCAGTCACAGAAGTTAAGCTCACAGGTCTATAATTCCCAGGTGTGATGAGACCAATCTCGCCACTGTGCATTGGAGGAGCCTGGTTGCCTACCTGCTGCCTTTTGACTATGGACCGGCATTTAAATACTTTATTTTCCTATGCAGAAAGGTCTATTCATGTATTTCTGCCGGATAGAATCTACCGAACAAACAGCCATCTATTGGCCTGCCAGGAGCCGTGGTTCGCTGGCAAGCCCCGTTAATTGGCTGCCCAGAAACCGGCAAGCTCCGCCAATTAACCACCCAGTAGCTGCGGTTAACCGCAGCTTAATTGACTATACTGGATGGCAGCAATCTGCAGTTCACACGCGGCCAGTTCATTCACGGATTTACTGAATGAACTCATTTAACCCAAACAGCTATGCCATGGAGCCTATTCGTGTAATAAAAGACTTTGGCTCCATGGCAATTGAACTGTATGTGTGTGTGGTCTGAGCGCCATTTAGTAATAATGTGCGCTCAGACCTAAGCTATCTGGGCATATGTTGCATGTCTGTATTTTATGTAATAAATGGAACCTTGTGTATTTTATTGTATTTTACTGTCTTTTTACTGCCATGTGCTTAATGGAGTTTTGCCTCTGTCCTTGGAGATAATTGGATTACTTCCAAATTATCTCCACGTTAGAGAGGAGTGTGACGAAGTGCCCTTCACCACACAGTCCTGGATGCTGGAGGTTCATACAGGGTGGAAGAAAGAGGTCTTTCCCACACGGTCCTGGAGGACAGAAGCCGATCCAGGGTGGAAGGAAGACGGCGAGACTCCAGTCAAGCTACAGCAGTTGCGGAGTCTGCGGTGGTTGTGGTGTCTGCTGCAGTGCTTGTAGTTCTCAGGAAGCACTATGAGCATCCATCAATGGAGGTACCCAGTCGGGGTGCCAGGTGATCCGTTACATTGGTGGCAGCGGTAGGATGGCGTCCTAGTATGAGGAAAAGCAGCTCGGAGACACTGGTAACGTTTGGAGTTACAAATTGAGGGCAACGCTAGTATCCGTACAGCGCCCCTGGCTACAGCAGGATGGAATTGGCTAGTTTTCGGACATCGTTCCATGATGAGGAGGAGGCGGCCGCGGACTACAGGGATGCAGACAGAAAGGAACTCTGGTATGATGCCCTGGAAGATGCCCAATGGCGGCAAGGTGAGAGTCTCCCCAGTGATGAGCAGTGGCTACAGAAGCATGTGGCGATGCGGATATATCTGTGGGGAGAGCAGCCCCTGGATGAGTGGGTGACAAGACTAGAGACCCTGGTATGGCGAGAGATCTGGCTAGACAACGCATACCAGGCCCTCTGGTGGCATACCATTTGACTTACCCCCTGGACGGCCAAGCACGACTTACCGGAGGGGGATGATTATGATGGCCCAGGTTTATTATGGGATGCTTTGGAGGATGACATTGATCTTGGCAGCACAGAGGGGTCCAGGTTTTGGGACATCTACGACTACCGGATGGGCATGTATGTCTGGGTTGATGAATGCGAAGTGAGCAAAGACATGACCCACCTGGTAACAAGGGAGTGGGAGCTGGAGCAGGACTACCAACACCTGCTCAGCTTTGTGCAACCCCAACCTACCCGACAAGCAGAACCAGACCTCATTGACTGGTCCTGGGATGACCTCCAGATGGCAGGTAGAGATGGGACCAAGGTCTCTCTACCGGCCCTACAGGGAGCCGAAGGTGTCGTCCTTCCTCCCCAGCGGCAGTGTGAGTGCCAGGGAGCTGAAGGTGCCGTCCTTCCTCCCCAGCGGCAGTGTGAGTTCCAGGGAGCCGAAGGTGTCGTCCTTCCTCCCCAGGGGCAGTGTGAGTTACAGGGAGCCGAAGGTGTCGTCCTTCCTCCCCAGCGGCAGTGTGAGTTACAGGGAGCCGAAGGTGTCGTCCTTCCTCCCCAGCGGCAGTGTGAATTCCAGGGGGCCAGAGGTGTTGTCATTCCCCCCCAGCAGCAGTGTGTCCTACAGGGGGCAGAGAAAGTTCGTCTCTCTCCCCAGCAGCAGGACAATGTTACGGGAGTGGAGACAGTCGGTCTCCCTCTCCAGTGGCAGCATGTGTTTCAGGGAGAGGAGCACAGCCCCCTCTCTCCCCAGCGGCAGCTTACCCTAACAAGGGGAGAAACCAATCTTCTAGATGGCACAGATGGGACCGTGGTCTCTGCGCCTGACCCACAGGGATACTGGATAGCCTGTCCAGATCCCCAGCTACCATCACAGGAGTATCAGGAGGAGGAGATAAGCCAATTCTCCCCTCCCTAGCTAACTCCTAACTTGGCCCCAGGGTTAGCAGAGGAGATGTTAACCCCCACTGATCCCCACGTTCCCCTGGCTACTGAGCCGGACTATGTCCCAAGCACTCCAGCAGAAGAGCTGGCAGCTGGGCAGAGTGCAGTTGGCCTCTGCCCTCCTTTTGTCCCTTGTCCAGAGCATGATGTCCTGCAGGCTATATCAGCGGAAGAGCTGGCATCAGGGCAGTGCGCCGCTGGCCTCTGCCCCTCAAGTCCCCACAGCATGTTGCCCCATCACCCCAGAGGAATACCCAGGGGCAGTCACTGTTTGCTGTGGGTGGGCTGCTCTAATAACTGTTTGTTGTGGGTGGGCTACTCTGGCACTTGCTTATGGTCGGTGGGTGAATCGACTAACTTAGGCACTGACCGACAGAAAGTCAGGTGTCTGGTTAGTCTTCCCCCCGAAGGGGAGATATGTGACGAAGTGCCCTTCGCCACTTGGTCCTGGAGAGGCCTGCTTGCCAGCCTCCTACCCTATGACTATGACTCTTTTATGTATTTGGCTTTAAAGCTTCTATTCTACCTTCAGACAGACTATTTATGTAGGTTGCTTTATTTCTCTTATGTTTTAGTCACCCTGTACCCATTATAGGTGCAGGGTGTGTGTAATGTAATTGTTTATAGTGTGTGTGTGTACTGTGTAATGTATTGCCTACTCTCCTGCACTGATGAGGTTTGCTACCAACTAGGTGGGTTTGGCTATGGAGCTTGTCTAGTGCCCTCTGTTGGTAGCAACAGCAATATGCACTACCTGAATAGCAAGAATGGTTCATTTGCATATTCGGGTAGATTTGCATATTGCTAATTCTCCAGGCACGTGCGATATTTTCTGTTAAATATTGTCTCCCCCACCCCTTTAAAAATGTGCCATTGTGTTGTGATAAGTCACTGTGTGTTGCCTGCTATGGTTTGACTGTTTGTGATTTTATTGAGTTGTCACAGCAATGTTAATGTGGTGAGCCTATGGGTGGTCCCAAGGGAAATAAAGGTTTAGACAGTTCTTCTTGATCCCTCTAAATGTAGCCTTGTCTCGTTATTGGAGGGAGCTGTTATAATCACACTGGGGATTGCTATGCTCTGCATACTCCCCTGAGCTTGAATCACTTAGCTCTTTTAAGAGCTTGTTCCTGACAAGCTCTCCTTGGAGAAGAGGTCTTTCCCACACGGTCCTGGAGGACAGAAGCTGATCCAGGGTGGAAGGAAGACGGTGAGACACCAGTCAGGCTGCAGCAGTTACGGAGTCTGCGGTGGTTGTGGTGTCTGCTGCAGTGCTTGTAGTCCTCAGGAAGCGCTAGGAGCATCCTTCAACGGCGGTACCCAGTCAGGGTGCCAGGTGATCCGTTACAAGGAGGGATTGTGATGTCATTATGGGAGTGTTTTACTGTGTATTACGTGTTTATTGGTTGTTTTACAAAACCCTGTGGGTGGTACTAATGTTTAAGAATGTGTATATAAGAACAATAAACCCACAGCTCTGTCTGTTCCTGCTTGACCCTCTAAATGGAGCCTTGTCTCGTTCTTGGGGGGGATTTATTGTATGCTGTTCCAGTTCGACTGCTAGGAGTGGTTTTTCCTATTCGGCTGTTTACGGCATTAATATGGTTTCCTGTTCGGCAGATTGGTGTCTTTAGTAGCTGCCTGTATATCTGGAAGGGGAATATCCGGTACAATACCTGAAACAAAATAATCTTGAACAATTAAATACAGAGGTTCAATTATTTCCCTACTTAGCTCCTTAAGTACTCGTGGGTGAATACCATCAGGCCCCAGAGCATTATTTACATTAATTTTCTCTAACAGCTGTGTGATGAGAGCAATCTCCCCACATTGCATTGGAGACGCCTGGTTGCCCGCCTGCTGCCTTTTGACTATGGCCCCATGTTGAAATGCTTGATTTTCCCCTGCGGAGACACGAAAGCCGGGTCATTTGGTGCTTGCCCTGTTTGAGCTGTGATACTCCAGATAGCTATGCCATGGAGCCCATTCGTATAATGAAAGACTATGGGAAAGACTTTGGCTCCATGGCAATTGAACTGTATGTGTGTGCTCTGAGCGCCGTTCAGAAATAATGTGCGCTCAGATCTGAGTTATCTGGGGATATGTTGAATGTACCTGTTTTGTGCAATGGCTGCATAGTTATATATTTTTATGTGTTTTATTGTCTTTTGCTGCCATGTGTTCAATGGAGTTTTGCCTCTGTCCTTGGAGATAATTGGATTACTCCCCAATTATCTCCAGGATAGAAGACTCTATGGAACTGGTTTTGGGCAGAAAAGCCATGATTCCTTTGGTCACAAAGAACTATGATCTAGCTTTTGAACCACTGGACCAATGTGGATGATTTTGACATATGTTTGTATTTGGAGTGCTGATTCTGAAAATGTAATGTTTTATGTGAATGTGATGCATACTTTTAAAGTTATGAATAATGTGGAAAAATTGTATTTCTCTGCCGGTGATAATTACATTACCCATTGTGTAAGGTAATTGTATCACAGGCAGAGGGGAGGATTTTGTGTGGGAGTGTCTGAGTGTATTGTACATGTTTATTGGTTGTTTTCCAAAACCCTGTGGGTGGTACTAATGTGTAAGAATGTGTACATAAGAACAATAAACCCACAGCTATGTCTGTTCCTGCTTGACCCTCAAAACGGAGCCTTGTCTCGTTCTTGGGGGGATTTACTGTATGCTGTTCCAGTTCGTAAACCTATTCATATGGTTTTTCCTATTCAGCTGTTTACAGCATTCGAATGCTTGAGAGCATTCAATGCTTCTCCAGTTCGGTGGATTGGTGTTCTGCAGTAGCTGTGCCTGTGTCGCTGGAAGGGAAGATCTACTAAACGGCGGTTTAACCCTTTTATGCCTGGGGGTTCCGTTACAGAAGTGTATACAGAGGAATGTGGTAAAGTGGTTTTGGAATGTGGGCGGAGTAGTTGGGTTGGATGGGTGGGCTAGTATAAAAAGGTTGCCATCTTACAGTATAGGAGCCATCTTAATTATCAGTTGGGATCAGCTCTCCGCCCTCCTTTATTTGTTTCATGTTTGTTTGTTTTATTTGTCACAACTTGTACCAGCGGGCGTGGTGGGAGCCCAGCAAGCTTGGTGGGTGCCCAGTGGGCATTGTGGGAGCCCAGCGGGTGTGTGGGTGCCCAGCCGGCACATGGGAGCCCAGCGGGCATGTGGGGGTATAATGCCCTTGTCAAACGTGAGTTGGCAAGGTGGTACTCAGTGCCATATCTATTTATTCAGTAATTATATATATAGTGTTTTATGTTATAAAGTTGAAGTTTAAAGATTTATACATTTATATTTTAATAAAGTTGTGGCCTATTTTAATCCAAACAAAGTCTGCTGTATTTTCATTGTAAGCAAAGGTTGGGTTTATCGAGAATCATGTTTATGCCCATACACAGTTACCCTCTCTACCTACGCACATGCTAGTTGTTGTGTTGTGAGTAGAGTTGAGCAGACACCTGCATGTTTGGGTCCGGCGGGTTCAGGGTTCAGGATCGAACTTGACCCCGTATTTGACCCCGAACCCGAACCCGAACCCCATTAAATTCAATGGGTACCAGAACTTTTGGGCACAAAAATGGCTCTAAAAAAATCCTGGAAAGGGCTAGAGGGCTGCAAAAGGAAAATGGGGGTAAGAGTAGGGTAAGTGTCCAGCAAACAAATGTGGTAGGGAAATCACTTAAAATAACATAAAATACCTAAAAAATTAAAATACAGCTGAGCCATAAAATAGCACTAGATGGAATCTTTGATTTTAGCTTTGGAATAACATCAATCAAAATCTAAAGCATGGCTGTCAGGAGGATCACCAGAATTATCCATTTGAGAGAGGGTTGGTGCAGGGTATTCTCTTTCATTGTTCAAACTGATCTCAACTCCTGATGCATGGAGAAAAGACCTTCACAAGCCTGTGCTATTGTGTACATAGTTTATACTAATTGACCTATAGGTTTAGGAGGCGGTGACCGTGGCGTTGTAGGTGGAAGCAGCGATGGAGGAGGTAGCCAACACTGTGTGTGAGTGCGTGAGGGCGGCAGTGTATGTCAAGGTTGCAGTGTGTGTGTTAGGGGGCAGTGTATGTGTGGGGCAGTGTGTGAGAGCTGCAGTGTGTGTGTGAGCGGTGCAGTGTTTGTGAGAGTTGCAGTGTGTGTTTGGGGCAGTGTGTGAATGGGGGCAGTGTGTGTACTGTGTGTATGGGGGCAGTGTGTGTATGGGTGTGCAGTGTGTGTATGGGGGCAGGCAGTGTTTGTGGTGCAGTATGTTAGGGGGCAGTGTTTGTGGGGCAGTTTGTGTATATGGGCTGTGTTTGTGGGGCAGTGTGTGTATATGGGGCAGTGTTTGTGGGGCAGTGTCTGTAGTGTGTGTGTGTGTGGGGCAGTGTGTGTAGTGTGTGTCAGTGTATGGGGGGGTCAGTGTGTGTAGTGTGTTTATGGGGGTACTGTATGGGGGGGCAGTGTATGGGGGCAGTGTGTGTAGTGCGTGTATGGGGGGCAGTGTTTGTATGGGGGAAAGGAGGGTATGGAGGCTTTTAAATTTTTTTTTTATTTAATAAAATAAATATTCATTATGTCCCCCCTCCCTTCTTACATTTACTGGGAGGAGGGGGGGACATTTCTGGATCCCTGGTGGTCCATGGTGAATCCCAGTGGTGGTGAGGTGAACTCTAGCCCTCGCCCCAGGGCAGGAGTTCACTTCTCACGAGATTTGGAGCATTGCCGTGGTAACCGCAGGAACGCTGCAGGTAAGAGCTCCCGGGTCCTCTCTCACTCCCTCCCCTGCTGGCTGTCAGCACAGTGCCTGTGGATCTCTGATCTCCCTCCCCAGTCCGCAGGCACATTGCAGGGCTGGCACTTGGACAATGCCAGCCCTGCATTAGCCGGCACGGGAGAATATCGGGGGGGGGAGGGGAAAATGCCCAGTTGCCCCCCCCTTGGATCCGCCACTGTCTCCAGCATGTGCAAGGTGGAGTTCCACCTTGTGGGCACGTCGCATATGAGGCTGTGAGCGGGAAAGCCAAAGTTACGCTGCAGCGCAGACAGGCGAGCAGCAGGGTGAGAACGCCTAAAGCGCGCACAGCCACTACAGTAAATTTCACATCCTGTTCCAAGTTGCGGATCAGTCTGGTGATGGCTTCTGGTATCCAGTACTCTTTTTACTGAACCTGCATCAGGGTCCTGGTATGTGGCCGCACAAACCCTGGTGCTCAACACCAGGGGGCGTGCGGTTACCCTGTACCAGACCCTGCTAATCCATTTCACACTGTGACTCCTAACTTCAACATCAGGCATACTGGGTCCCGATCATCCAACTGCCGCCCAGACAGTGTCTGGGTTCCCGTCACCTGACTGCGAAACTACGAATGGCTCATTAAATCTGTTATGGTTCATTTTATCGCTCCATCTGTTTCTTGGATAGCTGTGGAAATTCAAAAAATAATAAATGCTGACGAGCACAAGGGGATGGCTGCTCCGCTTTTGCACCCTTTTCCCTCTTATGCTGTGCTGGTGCCTCTTGTATGTACGTAGTGGGGAATTGCGATGCAGCCTAGAACAAAATCTAACCCCATTCAACCCCTCAATAACGACAGACCACTGAGTATGAATGAAACAGTCCACAGCATTTATTATCACAAACTAAATTACTGCATAACACATCCATAACTTTATTTATTAAATCTCTTCTTTTCCTGTAACCAAAACGTTAGACATAAATAAGCATAAATTAACATATATACATATATAACTCCACACATAGTGTTATACAGTGACCCAACCGTCCTTGCCAATAAACATACAGTGGTTCCTAATCACCACTTCCTCTCACCTCCCCCCTCGTCATAAAATCATATCTTTCCAATGCCCGCCATCAGCCAACCTTATCCACGCTCGATGGGCACGACACCTCAGGCAACCTAATGTTAACTGTTTGAAGCAGGGGAGGTTGAGAACTTAAAAACTTGTTCATCTCATTCCATATATTTAAACGTAACCCCTCAAACTCAATTGGCAAAGACATACCCCCGGCAAGCTGTGACTAAATATGCCAATAGAGCGGGCGGGAAGCTGTTTGCTGGCCCGAATCCCAAGTGGCACACTAACTTACACAGAACATAATCCCACCCACACACTCTTTCCCAAACAATCCCATGCATCTATCTCCACACTCCTACATGTACCCTGGTCCGCTTAGCTGCGCTATCTCCCCAGGGTCTGTGCGACGAGTGCCTCTTCCTCCAAACTGCACACATCACGCGCATGACCTTGATTCCATGTGGGGTCTAGGACCTCATCATCCTCCACATCATCTTCCACACACTCCTCAACCCTGTCCTCCTTGCCGGTATGCACACTGAAGAAAGCCACAGCAGTTGGCACCAGTGTTTTTCCAGCATGTAAAGTCTGCAAAGGACATATGGAAATTGTTTTAGAATTGTATCCAGGCAATAGTTTTCCCTGTAAACTGACCTCTCAGTTTGACTTATGAGGGTATTGCCCCTGAATTACAATATTGTTATATTGGTATTTGACGGTTCTATTTGACTGTCAGATATGAAGTGTACACCCCAAATGTACTATTTAGCACCCAAAACAATTTGACTTTTTCAAAGTGCACTGTAAGAACAATGTTTGACGGCTCTAATTGACTCTCGGATATGAAGTGCACCGCAGGACGCAAATGTACTATTTACCATTAGCACCCAAAACAATTTGAATTTTTCAAAGCACAGTGTTTAACAGTTCTTTTTGACTCTCAGTTATGAAGTGCACACCCCAAATTTGAATTTTTAAAGTGCGCTGAAAGCACAGTATTTAATGGTTCTATTTGACTCTCAGATATGAAGTGCACTGCAAGACACAAATGTACTATTTAGCACTCAAAACTATTAGAATGTTTCAAAGTGCGCTGCAAGCACAGTGTTTGACGGTTCTATTTGACTCTCAGATATGAAGTGCACCGCAGGACGCAAATGTACTATTTAGCATCCAAAACTATTAGAATGTTTCAAAGTGTGCTGTAAGCACAGTGTTTGACGGTTCTAATTGACTCTGAGATATGAAGTGCACCGCAGGACGCAAATGTACTATTTAGCTCCCAAAACAATTTTAATTTTTCAAAGTGCGCTATAAGCACAGTGTTTGACGGTTTTATGTGACTCTCAGATATGAAGTGCACACCCCAAATTTATTTTTTATCACCCAAAACAATTGGAATTTTTCAAAGTGCGCTGAAAGCACAGTATTTGACGGTTCTATTTGACTCTCAGATATGAAGTGCACCGCAGGATGCAAATGTACTATTTAGCTCCCAAAACAATTGGAATTTTTCAAAGTGCGCTATAAGCACAGTGTTTGACGGTTCTATTTGACTCTCAGATATGAAGTTCACCGTAGGACGCAAATGTACTATTTAGCACCCAAAATAATTTTAATTTTTCAAAGTGCGCTGTAAGCACAGTGTTTAACGGTTCTTTTTGACTCTCAGATATGAAGTGCAGACCCCAAATTTACTTTTTATCACCCAAAACAATTTGAATTTTTCAAAGTGCGCTGAAAGCACAATATTTGACGGTTCTATTTGACTCTCATATATGAAGTGCACCGCAGGACGCAAATGTACTATTTAGCTCCCAAAACAATTTGAATTTTTCAAAGTGCGCTATAAGCACAGTGTTTGACGGTTTTATGTGACTCTCAGATATGAAGTGCACACCCCAAATTTATTTTTTATCACCCAAAACAATTGGAATTTTTCAAAGTGCGCTGAAAGTACAGTATTTGACGGTTCTATTTGACTCTCAGATATGAAGTGCACCGTAGGACGCACATGTACTATTTAGCACCCAAAACAATTTGAATTTTTCAAAGTGTGCAAATGTACTGTTTAGCATTAGCCCCCAAAATAATTTTAATTTTTCAAAGTGCGCTGTAAGCACAGGGTTTAACGGTTCTTTTTGACTCTCGGATATGAAGTGCACACCCCAAATTTACTTTTTATCATCCAAAACAATTTGAAATTTTCAAAGTACGCTGAAAGCACAGTATTTGACGGTTCTTTTTGACTCTGAGATATGAAGTGCACCACAGGACGCAAATGTACTATTTAGCTCCCAAAACAATTGGAATTTTTCAAAGTGCGCTATAAGCACAGTGTTTGACGGTTCTATTTGACTCTCAGATATGAAGTGCACTGTAGGACGCAAATGTACTATTTAGCACCCAAAATAATTTTAATTTTTCAAAGTGCGCTGTAAGCACAGTGTTTAACGGTTCTTTTTGACTCTCAGATATGAAGTGCAGACCCCAAATTTACTTTTTATCATCCAAAACAATTTGAATTTTTCAAAGTGCGCTGAAAGCACAGTATTTGACGGTTCTTTTTGACTCTGAGATATGAAGTGCACCACAGGACGCAAATGTACTATTTAGCTCCCAAAACAATTTGAATTTTTCAAAGTGCGCAAAGCACAGTGTTTGATGGTTCTATTTGACTCTCAGATATGAAGTGCACACCCCAAATTTACTTTTTATCACCTAAAAACAATTTGAATTTTTCAAAGTGCGCTGAAAGCACAATATTTGACGGTTCTATTTGACTCTCAGATATGAAGTTCACCGCAGGACGCAAATGTACTATTTTGCACAACAAAAGTGTGATTTTTTTAAACCAACAATGTAACAGTAGTATTTAAGGGTTTTATTAGACTGCAAGTAATGCAGTACACAAATGTACTACTTAGCACCCAAAAATTGCAGTATTTAAAAATGCCCAGATGTTGCCCACTGAACTACCAGAACAGGATTAAAGTCATGTGCCTGGCACACATGCAGTTGCAAGTGCACTGCATTCTCTGTGGCACTGGGCTCAGTTGCACAAAAATGTAGTATAGCACCCACTAAAATAATCGCAGTAGTTTGAATAATCGCTGTAGTTTGCAGATTCAACACCAGAATTCAGCTGCAGCATCCTCTCCCTACACTAATAAGAGCTCATGTGCGTGCGGCGCTACGTGACTCCAGCTTATATATAGAGGCTGTGTCACATGCTGCACTGGCCAATCACAGTCATGCCAATAGTAGGCATGGCTGTGATGGCTTCTAAGGGCAAACGAGTCAAACGCTTGTTGATTGGCTGCCCTGCAGCCTTTCAAAACGCGCCATTAAATCGCCGAACACTGAACTCAAACCCGAACATACATTGAAATGTCCGTGTTTGGGTGAGGGGTCCAAAAACCGTAATGTTTGGTACGAATACGAACTTTGTGGTTTGGGGTTTGCTCAACTCTAGTTGTGAGTCTTTTCCCCATTATTACTTACTAAACCATAACATGTTTGTTCAGAATCTGTCATACGCACATTACTCATCTACAAGAATAATGTAATATTTCATTGTTGCAATTAACACATCAATCTTTGTACCAGCGGGTTTGCTAAGGCTAAGCTCTGCATCTGTCTGTTATATGATATTCAGAATTTTCAAATTTACACCACATTATCAAGTCTAGTAATCAATAAGTGATGTAATCATTGTATCCATTAGTACAAATGCTCAGAAAAAGGCAGAATGGTTCAAACAGATCTAACACTTAAAGGGACACTATAGTCACCAAAACAACTTTAGCTTAATGAAGCAGTTTTAGTGTATAGATCATGCCCATGCGGTCTCACTGCTCAATTATCTGCCATTTAAGAATTAAATCACTTGTATTTCTGTTTATGTAGCCCTAGCCACTGAAGCAGCCTGCATGAAAAATTGTTTTATTTTCAATCAGATGTTACTTCCTTTAGAAGTTTTTTATCGTCTGCTATGTAATTTAACTTGGACAATTATCAGAGCCAGATATAAGAAATTCTAAATTAAACAGACTGTGCAATAAAGGAAGTTAAAACATCAGATCTCTATTTACAGGAAGTGTTTAGGAAGGCTGTGTAAGTCACATGCAGGGAGGTGTGACTACAGCTGTATAAACAAAGTGATTTAACTCCTGAATGGAAGAGAATTGAGCAGCAAGACTGCAGGGTCATGTTCTCTACAGCAACACTGCTTCACTAACTAAAACTAACTTTTGGTGCTTATAGTATCAGTTTAAAGTTCAGAGTTTATTTAGCTTCAATAATAATAAAGACTCATTTGATGGCGAAGGACAGTTTGCCAAAGAGAACAAAGTTCACTGAAAATAATTTCAGGGTGTCATGTCCCAGGTCATTCAGTTGACGTGACTTTATGATGAAACATGACAACATTGCCTCCTGTCTGTTAAACCCAATATCTCTGATATAAAATGGAAGACATCCCTGGTACTGTCATGGATATCCACATTCTTTATCGGTTCTTAGCGATGTTATGTGTCTATTTGTAGGTTGGAACGAGTTGCTGATTGCATCCTTTTCTCACCGCTCTGTGTCTGTTCAGGATGGTATTCTCCTTGCAACAGGGCTTCATGTCCATAGAAGCAGTGCACACAATGCTGGTGTAGGCTCCATCTTTGACAGGTAAAACTTCTTCTAAGTCTATCCGTTGCCAACGATACCGAAAGCTTCTCACTGATTTTATTTCAATAGGGTGCTGACTGAACTGGTCTCTAAAATGAAAGACATGGAGATGGATAAATCAGAGCTGGGATGTCTGCGAGCAATTGTTTTATTCAATCCAGGTAAAGAAAACGAATTCCCGTCACATCTCCATTCTCGTTTTACTTTGATACAATTAATAGAACTGGTAATTACCCTTGTTTGATAACTAATTCTAAGTCATGACCAGCAGAACAGGTTTTCAGAACCTCACCACCAGATATTCCACTTTGTAAGGGTCAACAAAAGACATCCAGTTCACCATAATTAATTTCATCCTTGTCTGTCTGTTACCTTTTACAATCTAGCCTATGCTTCTTAACGTGATTAACATCAATGTTATTTTGCCTAACAAAAGATTAATTTCATATCGAATGTGTTGGACTGCATAGTCAAAACTGAAGCAGGGTGTGAGTGAATACTGAGAATGAATTGAGTTAGTCCCAGATCATGTCTCAAGCTGGATTTTGTTTGCATGTGCCGTTACACAGAGAATCTGCATCATTTGCACACTGACCCCCCGAAAGGGCAGTCCAGATGCAAAATGATGGCAAATCCTTTGTGTGAGGGACATAATAATCCCAGAAAACCATTTTGACCTTAGTGGGCACGTTAGTGAGGTGTGGTTTATAACAATCTGGGCACTGTGAACGTTCAATCCATGTTTGGTAAACACTTTTACATTAGGGAGCTATTCTGGGCAGAGTAGGTAGATGTTCCTACCAAGAACATTTTGCAAAACAGTAATTTTTGAGCGTCTTATATTGACATGAAGAGCTTTGTTATACAATCATTCATTTTGCTTCATTCCAGCTAGAACTAAACTCTCCTTTTGTAGTTCCTTAGTGTTCCTACGAGTTGTGCCATAGTATCGTCCAGGTTAGAGAAACCGCATTCTGTATTGTTATTGGTATATTATATGTTATTATACATACCCCACTTCTTTTATACTGTAAGCTCATTTAAGAAGTTGCCTCCTCCCTCATAACAAACTCTATTTTGTCACAGTTACTTGTAAGTAAACACTACATAATATATTTTAAAAATAGCACCTACTGTCCTTATCATTTCCTGTCTGTTATTATTTATTTATAAAATATTTTACCAGGAAAGATACATTGAGATGTCCTGGGTCCACAAATCATTGCATTGTTACATTAGGGTACAATAAAATACAAAAACAATATTAATACACACTATATACAAAATTTAACATAGAACAGGCAGGAAATATATAATCAACCATGACAGGTGCATTCTGTTTTGAGGTATGTAGAGAGGGATCTCTTAAATAACTTTAAGCTTAGGGAAGATTTTAAATTGTGCGGGAGGCCATTCCACAATTGCGGTGCTCTGTAGGAGAAGGAGGATCGGGCCGCTTTCTTTTTGTATTGAGGTAGACTAAGTAAAGTGCTGGTACTGGATCGGAGCTTATAGGAAGTGGGAACAGCTGGGGAAAGCATTTTGTTCAGGTAGGGTGGGAGTTTCCTAGAAAAGCTCTTAAACACAAGGCTGGAAAGATGAAGGGTGCGTCGGGATTCCAGCGACAGCCAGTTTAGTTCTTTTAGCATGTCACCATGATGTGTCCTGTAATTACATTGTAGCACAAATCGGCAGAACGAGTTATACAATGTGTTGAGTTTATTAATGTGGGCTTGCGATGCAGAAGCATATACTACATCCCCATAATCAATGATTGGCATCAGGATTTGCTGTACAATATTTTCCTTTACTGTAGGGCTTAGGCAGGATTTGTTTCTGTACAGGGCACCTAGTTTTGGATAAAGTTTAGATGCAAGTTTTTCTATGTGCAGGCCAAAAGAGAGATTGGGGTCTAACATCATACCCAAGTATTTAAAAGAGTGGGCTGCGGTCAGTGTGCCATTTGAATTAGTTTTGATGGATAGGTGGGAATTGTGTAATTTGTGTAATTTAGGTAGTGTTCCAAAGATCATTGTGACAGTTGTGTCCGTGTTCAGGAAGAGTTTGTTTTTTGCGATCCACTTTTCTACCTCTGTAAACTGGTCTTGGAGCACAGCCTCAAGTTGCGGTAGATTGGATTTGCTCGCATAGATTACTGTGTCAACTGCGTACATGTGTACATTTGAGGATTTGCAGACATTAGGCAGATCATTTATAAATAATGTAAATAGTAGGGGGCTGTGACGAAGTGCCCTTCGCCACTTGGTCCTGGAGAGGCCTACTTGCCAGCCTCCTCCCCTGTGACTATGACTCTTTCATGTATCTGGCTTTAAAGCCCCTAGTCTACCTTCAGACAGACTATTTATGTAGGCTGCTTTATTTATCTTATGTTTTAGTCACCCTGTACCCATTATAGGTGCAGGGTGTGTGTAATGTAATTGTTTATAGTGTGTGTGTGTGTACTGTGTAATGTATTGCCTGCTCTCTTGTATTGCTGAGGTTTGCTACCAACTAGGTGGGTTTGGCTATGGAGCTTGTCTAGTGCCCTCTGTTGGTAGCAACAGCAATATGCACTACCTGAATTGCAAGACTGGTTCATTTGCATATTTGGGTAGATTTGCATATTGCTAATTCTGCAGGCAGGTGAGATATTTACTGTTAAATATTGTCTCCCCCCACCCCTTTAAAAATGTGCCATTGTGTTGTGATAAGTCACTGTGTGTTGCTTGATATGGTTTGACTGTTTGTGATTTTATTGAGGTTTCACAACAATGTTATTGTGGTGACTGTATTGGCTGGTCCCAAGGGAAATAAAGGTTTTGACAGTTCTTCTTGATCCCTCTAAATGTAGCCTTGTCTCGTTATTGGAGGGAGCTGTTATAATCACACTGGGGATTGCTATGCTCTGCATGCTCCCCTGAGCTTGAGTCACTTAGCTCTTTTAAGAGCTTGTTCCTGACACGCTCTCCTTGGAGGAGGGGTCTTCACCACACAGTCCTGGATGCTGGAGGTTCATACAGGGTGGAAGGAAGAGTTCTTTCCCACACAGTCCTGGAGGACAGAAGCTGATCCAGGGTGGAAGGAAGACGGCGAGACTCCAGTCAAGATATGGCGGTTGCGGAGTCTGCGGTGGTTGTGGTGTCTGCTGCAGTGCTTGGAGTCCTCAGGGAGCGCTAGGAGCATCCGTCAACGGAGGGTACTCGGTCGGAGTACAAAGGAGCTCCGTTACAGGGGCCGAGAATGGAACCCTGGGGAACACCACACGTGACTGGGAGAGGGAGGGAGTCGCTGTCAGAAATTGACACATATTGCCAGCGATCTGATATATACGATCGAAACCAGGTTAGCGAACGGTCACCAATACCTGAGTTTTTGAGTTTGTGCAGTAGAATGTCATGGTCTGCTGTGTCAAGGCAAATGTGTGCCATTTATTAGCTTGGCAATCAGGGCAGTAGAGCATCTGACAAAATAATTGTTAAAGGCATTTGCTACATCTAAGGGAAGTTGCAGGGTTTGGTTACCCACTTGAGGTCAGCTGTGATCCAGTTCATATGTGCTCCTTTTACCCTCACCTTACACAGCGGGCATGCAAATTCCAAATTTCAGACTGAAAGAATTCAAAGGCACAGTCTAGATCTGGGATAATGTTTAATCTGTGACATGGGAGGTGTCATTTAGAAAGGATTCAAGATAATTTTTTTTGAAGGACCAAGTTATTTTAACCTAGGGAGAGGATTTAATAGGCTTTATTTTGCACATGCAGTACACCAAACAGTGATCACACCGGCATCCTGGATTCTATCAGGAGAAGTGGAGAGAATCCAGTCGAGCAGGGTATGGTTATGGCTTTTAATGTTTATGCGAGTTGGGGAGGAGATTAATTTGCTTTAGCTGCAAAGTCCTAAACAGCGTGCAAGAGCTATTATTTTTAGGGTTCAGCCAATCAATATTAAAATCTCCAAAGACCAACAGTTCACTTTTTGGGTTTTGAGCTATGGTTTCACTAAGGAGATGGGCTATGTCAGAAAGGGAATGCACTGGGGAGCTAGGTGGGCGGTACATTCCTGCAACAATGATTGATTTACTGCACGGGATCTCAATTGTGCCAGAAAGGAAATCAAAGGTGGCAGAAGGGCTAAAGTTTCGTAAGGGGGTAAACTTTATGGAATTGTCAACATAAATAACAATGTCTCCTCCTCTCTTTGCAGAGCCGTGAGTGACAGTCTGTTCTGCCCTATCTTAACTGTCTTTATACAGATTACACTATGTTTTTTATTTTATGCTTTTAGATATTACCTGATTATACTGACAAGCTCAGGTTGTATTTTTGGATATTTACCACTATTTCACTTTGTGTGGTTTGATATAAACTTTGTCTTTGTTATTCACATTTTTATTGTGTTTGGGGAAACACTCTTATATCTACCACCACTCTTATCTTCATACTCACTGTAACGGAACGCCTGGCACCCCGACTGGGTACCTCCGTTGAAAGATGCTCCTAGCGCTTCCTGAGGACTCCAAGCACTGCAGCTGACACCACAATCACCGAACCAGAGAAGCGTATACCTTCTCTCAAGCATATGAATGCTGTAGACAGTTGAATAGGAACCATACGAATAGGTTTACTCTCCTAGCAGTCAAACTGGAACAGCATACAATTAATCCTTCCCCCAATAATGAGACGACACTTCACTTTGAGGGTTAAAACAGGAACTCCCTGTACTGTCACATACAGTCTCTTTTATTCCCAATCCCCAAACATAGTACAGCCCACAGGGCGTTACAAAACAACCAATCACATCACAGTTACATCCCACATATTCCCTCCCCTTATCCTGAGAGGAAACTCAATTATACATACAGTTAAAACATACTTTCTACCCAACTTTCATAACTCCAAAACCATACATCACATTCACATAAAATTACATATTCACAATCAATCCATTCAGGGGAACAACATATTCAAAAATGGCACAAATCAGACAAGGGGTTCAAAAGTTAGTAAAAAGTCCTTTGTGACTAAATGAAGCATGGCTTTCTGGCCCAAACCAGTTTCAGAGTCTTCTATCCTGGAGAGTAATTCAATTATCTCCCAGGATAGACACAAGACTCCATTAAGCACATGGTTGCAAAAAGACACAAAACACTTTAAAATACATAAAGTCACATTTACACATAACACACAGACATTTCACATATCCCCAGATAGCTGGGATCTGAGTGCACATTATTAGATGAATGGCACTCAGATCACACAAATAAGCCTTTCTGCAGGGGAAATAAACAGTTTAACCTGCAGGGCCATAGTCCAAAGGGAGCAGGCGAGCAACCAGGCTTCTCCAGTTCACAGTGGCGAGGTTGGTTTCGCCACACTTCTCCCCTTTACCAACTAGACTAACAGGGTATCTGACCTCCTGCCGGTCAGTGCCCTGGTTAGTCCAGCAACCCACCCACAAAACAGAAACAGCAGTACAGCCCACCCACAATAACTGGTTACTACACCTGGGTAGAGGAAAACTTTGTCCATGTCCAGGTGCCTCACCACGACTGTGTGGGCAACTGTTAGGCTGCCTTGGTGGGTTGCTGAGTGGGCAGAGACCAGCGGTACTCTGCCCTGATGCCAGTGCTACCACGGAAGTAGCCTGGTGGGAGCCTGGTTGTGGGAGGGAGAGACCGACTGTCTCCCCTCTGGATACACCGCTCTGTGGCTGGGGAACAGGACCGACTGTCCCTACCCCTTGTGCTGTAAGTGCAGAGACTACAGTCCCATCTGCACTGTTGGGGGGTGTAACATCTCCCCTTGCTGGGTTAGGCTGCCGCTGGAGAGAGGGTGTAACAAGCTCCTCTCTCTGAACTGTAAACTGCCGCTGGGGAGAGGGGGTATCAGGCTCCTCTCCCTGACACTCTCTCTGTTGGTGGAGAGGGGGACCAGCTGTCTCCCCTTTCATTATTTTGTCCTGTGGTTGGGGTGCGAGACTGACGGTCTCTGCTCCCTGCAGGACACTCTGCCGCTGGGGAGGAAGGACGGCACCTTCAGCTCCCTGGGGTACACACTGCCTCTGGGGAGGAAGGACTGCACCTTCAGCTCCCTGGGGTACACACTGCCGCTGGGGAGGAAGGACTGCACCTTCAGCTCCCTGGGGTACACACTGCCGCTGGGGAGGAAGGACTGCACCTTCAGCTCCCTGGGGTGCACACTGCCGCTGGGGAGGAAGGACTGCACCTTCAGCTCCCTGGGGTACATACTGCCGCTGGAGATCTGGGCCGACCGCCCAGCATCCCTGTAGGGCCGGTTGAGAGACCGCCGTCCCATCTCCACCTGCCATCTGTGGGTCTTCCCAGGACCAGTCTGTGAGGTCCCTCAACATTTGCGAGTAAGGACCACCTGCTTCCGCACCTGGCAACTCCGGCTGCTGCTGGGGATCTGGGCCGGTCCCATCTCCACCTGCCTGTTGTGGTTCCTCACAGGACCAGTCTATGAGGACCCCTACTTCGGGTTCCTGCGGCCGCCTCAGGGGGAGACGGCTAGCCTCCTCGGATGCAGCCTCTACTCGGCTGCTGTAACACTCCTTCCGCTGAGCATACTCTCTCTCTTTCGCCAGCCGGAATTCTCGGGCCAGCCTTGTGTTTCGCTCGGCCGTGACCTGGTTCCAGATCACCCGGCGTACCTCCATGGGTAAATCATCCCCATACTGGGCCACTCGCTGCCTCACCTCGGCCATCCAATCATCGCCAGAGCCTTCCATACTTGTCTGCTCCAAGTCGCTGGATACCTCTGCTCCCAGGGGCGCTGCAGAACGGTGTCTCTGAGCTGCTTTACCTCGCACTAGGACGCCATCCCACCGCTTGCCACCAATGTAACGGATCGCCTGGCACCCCGACTGGGTACCTCCGTTAAAGGATGCTCCTAGCGCTTCCTGAGGACTCCAAGCACTGCAGCTGACACCACAATCACCGAACCAGAGAAGCGTATACCTTCTCTCAAGCATATGAATGCTGTAGACAGTTGAATAGGAACCATACGAATAGGTTTACTCTCCTAGCAGTCAAACTGGAACAGCATACAATGAATCCTTCCCCCAATAATGAGACGACACTTCACTTTGAGGGTTAAACAGGAACTCCCTGTACTGTCACATACAGTCTCTTTTATTCCCAATCCACAAACATAGTACAGCCCACAGGGCGTTACAAAACAACCAATCACATCACAGTTACATCCCACATATTCCCTCCCCTATCCTGAGAGGAAACTCAATTATACATACAGTTAAAACATACTTTCTACCCAACTTTCATAACTCCAAAACCATACATCACATTCACATAAAATTACATATTCACAATCAATCCATTCAGGGGAACAACATATTCAAAAAATGGCACAAATCAGACAAGGGGTTCAAAAGTTAGTAAAAAGTCCTTTGTGACTAAATGAAGCATGGCTTTCTGGCCCAAACCAGTTTCAGAGTCCTCTATCCTGGAGATAAGTAATTCAATTATCTCCCAAGATAGACACAAGACTCCATTAAGCACATGGTTGCAAAAAGACACAAAACACTTTAAAATACATAAAGTCACATTTACACATAACACACAGACATTTCACATATCCCCAGATAGTTGGGATCTGAGTGCACATTATTAGATGAATGGCACTCAGATCACACAAATAAGCCTTTCTGCAGGGGAAATAAACGGTTTAACCTGCAGGGCCATAGTCCAAAGGGAGCAGGCGAGCAACCAGGCTTCTCCAGTTCACAGTGGCGAGGTTGGTTTCGCCACACTCACGAAGCGCCTATACACTAGTTATTTGTTTTTTCCATGTTTAAAAATCAGACCGTGGGAGAGAGATGTTGGCAGCATCGGGGTCCCCTCCTAAAATTGACCATCAGGTTTATTTTCTGTCCTATACTAATTGAGACACTACTATAGATAACAGCCAGATAAAGAAAGCTGGAAGGTAAGAAATGTACATTAAGTATGTCTTATTAGTTTACGTCATTATTTTAGATGCAAAAGGACTATCTAATTCTGCCGAGGTGGAGGTGTTACGTGAAAAGGTATATGCAGCTCTAGAATCCTACACCAAACAGAAATATCCCGACCAACCTGGAAGGTGAGAAATTTAAATTTGATAATCTTTCAAAACAGGAGTTTAACTACTGCACAGATATTTAAAATCTGGGCTACCATAAGAAAGTTTGGAGTCCCTTGTAAAAACCTTTGATTGAGTCCCTTCACCCAGACATATGCAGACAAAGTCGTTCCCAAACACACAGATCCAAATTTCAAGAAACATATGTAGATACACATTCCCAGACATACACAGGTGAACAAGTACAGTGAGTGGATGCGTGCGTTCCGCAGTTGGGAAATTAAACAATGAGGAGATAAATACCCTGTGGGAGCTGTTTGTTAATACTTGACCGGTGCATAGTCGCCATATGGGCAGGTGGAATCAGGACAAAACCCCCATATACCTACCCAATAAAACACGAACACTAGGGTATATAAGGTCAAAATTGTCCACAGCTTTTATTAAATAGTAATAATAAATTAACATAGAAAGAACAAGTCAATGTCCCACACCCCACCGTCACATCCGTATCCTTCAGTTAGGTATACAAGGCAACGACCCCTATATAAATAACATATATCAGTATTCCAATATGAACAAAACTGTAAGTGCCAACATTGTTATTGACCATGGAAGGGGTATACCCGGATACCACACCAGATTCTGAGCATGAATAAGCCCTTCTGCAGGGAAAATAAAGTATGTTAAAAGTCCAGTCCATAGTCTAAAGGAAGCAGGTGGGCAACCAGGCTCCTCCAATGCAATGTGGCGAGATTGCTCTCGTCACAGAGACAAACCTACGAAACTTACCACGAACCATGTGACAGACCGCCTGGCACCTCAACTGGGCACCTCCGCCAATCATGCTTCCTAGTATCACCGAGTACTATAAGCACCGCACCAGACACCAAAAACACCGTGGCCCACCTTAGCCGCCGCAGCTTGGCTGGGGTCTCGCCGTCCCTTCCCACCCTGGACCAACACCTGGATCCAGCTCCCAGTGAGAAGACCTCTCCTCCAACAGAGTATAATAATCCAAAGAGCAGTATAGCCAATTCCCCCCCACACATGAGTCTGTTTAATGCAGGCAAGCACACATACACACATTAAACCCCCAACAAGCTCATTTACATACAATAGGGTACATAGAGCACTATAATACAAGGAAGGATGGGGTCAAACAATAGCAAGAGCTGTTGGGAGATTGAGGAGGGACAGGGCAGGTAGCCATGGCACCATTGCGTCTAACTTTACGGGGTTAGGCCCCACGGCAGCGGGTGCCCCTCCACCTGAGGCAGCTCCCCGGCTCCCCCGTCCTACCCTTCTTAAAGCACCGATTGAGTCAGTGGGAGCCCCCACAACCTGAGCACTTGTGCTTAAAATGACAGGCAGCTCCCCACTTGCACTGACCTTCATTGAAGAGCCAGCATAAGTTCTTTTGGAAGGCGGCCGACGAAGCGGACTGCCCCCTTATGCCGGCCGTTTGCTGAAAGGGCTGCACCATCTGTGCCATCATCAGCTTCATCTAGAGAGGCAGGTCTATCTGGTCCCACCTAATACCCGGATTGGCCCCCAGGTGTTGTCTGAACTGTTCGTCGTACCTCCACCACGCCAGCCCACCGTACATGTGGTATGGCTTCCAGATCCCGTCCAAGTAGCAGAACAACTCCTTTAACCAATTTCAGAAAGACTAAGGTATCTTATGATACCGCTTCCGTTTCTCCTCCTCCTTCTTGTCCTTCTCCTTGAGGTCAATAAAGTCCTCCAAAGGAAGAAGCAAAAAAATTTAGCAGAACTCCCCTTTCCATAACTTTTCCTTTACGTCCTGTTTCAAGTGAACCCCCAATAGTCCAGCGAATGACACATACTCGTGCTGCCGCGCCACGTCTGGAACCCCCCTGATAATTCTGCTTTCTCGCTTCTGACCTCCGCCAGACCTTCCATCACCCCGGGTCTCCACCCGAGCCGCTGCGCGTGTTTTCCGCAACCATGGCCCCGGACACTCACACCCGGCCTACGCTAGACCCGTGACTACCCACCTCCCCAAACGAGTGCAGCAGGGACTGCAACGTATTCAGTAATGTGTCAGAGTGTAGTGTCAATTCGGACTCACCGGCCAAGCTTGACCGTCCTTGACGGCCCAGGGGCTGCACTGTCGACTGCCACAGGTCCAGGATGTGCACCATTTGCCGACTGCTAGCTGACCGGGTAGCCCACCAGGTGCCTAGAATGCCCAGATGAGGAACAGCTTCTGAGACCTGAAATGAGAAAGAGAAGTCCTGGGCAGAGTGTACTGGTCCCAATCCACCCTCCCGCTTGACCCCTGTGAGCACCTGCCTGACTCCAAAGCCTCCTGCTGAGAGACGCCATACCTACGACTCCTTCCATCCCCTTCAGATGACCTGTCCCAACGCCCCCAGCCGGGGCTCCGAGTCCAACCCCCCCGCCGAGCTACCGGAGGCCGACCGGTGCTGCCGTGACCTACCAGCAGTGGCCCGGTCCCCCTTCCACCCAGGTCTATAAGAACTGCCGCTCCCTGACCCCAAAGAGGACCTACCCCGTGACCGACGCCTTCCCTATTGCTGTGCCCTAGGGGGTGAGGCAGTCCCCACCAAGGTACGACACCCAGGGCCTATCTACCCATCATCCAGGCCACCAACACCCCTGCCTTGAGGCACGGTCCACCCGACCCGCCTGCCCCACAGACTCCCTCCCCCCCGCCCTACGCCGGTGTCTCCTTCCTAATGGACCCCCACCCTACCCGATGTCTGCCCTTCCCCTAGGGCCCTCTACCCGCACCCTCCTCCGCCCCAGGAAAGGGGTTAAACCCACCCTGCACCATCCCTGACTTGCCAAGTGGGATGCCAGCCCCATGCCCTAAGCCTGATCGCCGCCTGCCACCATGGGACCCCTAGACCCTGCAGTCCGCCATCTGCCCCCCCCGCTTCACCAGTAACACAGAAGGGATTCCCCCTATCCCAATCACCCACGTTCCACCCCTGGGGGCCTCAGAAGCACCCAGAGAGCCCTGCACCACGTCTCCCCCAACTACTAAACCCAGGCCGGGCACCAGGACCCCAATTCCTGCCCAACTGGCCTTCAGAGGGACCCCCTGGACTCGCCTGCAAGGATGAGGGCTGGCTCCATGTGGCCCTCGAGCCGGCACCGTTGCTCCCGATGTCTATACTAGGGGCACCCCTCCCAAGCCTTGACCCCTTCCTGCCCGACCATCTAGGGGGCCCACTGTCGCCCATGGGAGCCCCCACTCCAAGCGTTGCCCCGACCAACTTGGGGGCCACACCACCAGCATCCTGGGCAGCCGCACGAAGTAAGGAGCCCCCCCAAGGCTCCGGCTTGCTGGGAGGCGGGGCCTCGACCACGCAGCCTCCACGCCTGCCTCCTGGCTCATGGCCCACTCCGGCCACCTCGTTTCTGCCTGGTACTCCAACACAGGGCCCCGCACCCGGAATCAGCCTCCGTGAGGGTCTCCTGATCCCCTCCAGCATCCTCTCCACCTAGTTCACCCAGGAAGAAAAAGAAGAAACCTACCAGGCCAAATCAGTGGACACACAGGGTGCACACAAACTCGACCAGGTAGGCAAGTTAAAAGTAACTCTTCTATGATGGCTGCCTATTTATATAGCCAAACCCCCAACCCTCAAACCACCAATCCCTACATGCTTCTGCCTATGCCCGCCTCCTAGCCCTGTCAAGGCTTCTTTCCACTAACCTATGCTTTTGTTACATAGGGTTACATTCTGTCTTCTGCCCTGCCATAAACTATTAAACATACAGCAATAGGTAAAAATACACTACAGGAGAGAGAGTACTGGAATATCACATTACTTCTTATACACTATGTCCTATTCAATTCCATATACATTAAAGGGACACTATAGTTACCAGAACAACTACAGCTTATTGTATTTGTTCTAGTGAGTAGAATCATTCCCTTCAGGCTTTTTGCTGTAAACACTGTCTTTTCAGAGAAAATGCAGTGTTTACATTACAGCCTAGTGATAACTTCACTGGCCACTCCTCAGATGGCTGTTAGAGATCCTTCCTGTGTCATGGCTGCCTAAAATGCATCCAAACATTCAGTATCTCCTCCCTCTGCATGCAGACACTGAACTTTCCTCATAGAGATACATTGATTCAATTCATCTCTATGAGGAGATGCTGATTGGCCAGGGCTGTGTTTGAATTGTGCTTGCTCTACCCCTGATCTGCCTCCTTGTCAGTCTCAGCCAATCCTATGGGGAAGCACTGTGATTGGATCAGGCTACCACTTCAAATGATGTCAGCAGACTGCTTGCTGGTCTGAGGCAAACAGGGCAGAGCCAGCAGCTTCAGGCTTGAATACATGTAAGATTTTGCTATATTTATGGAGGCATGGGGGATCCAGGGGGGCTAGATGGTGGTTTTAACACTATAGGGTCAGGAATACATGTTTGTGTTCCTGACCCTATAGTGACCACTCCCCAAAAAACACCCCCAAAGTTTAGAAGATATACATCCAATGAAAACATGTGTGCATATTTTTATGCATGTATTCATTCAGAGTATAGTCTAAAATAGATTACAATAGCTGCAGTTCTTATAACTGCAGTCTTTGTAAGCCCTCTCTTTTTTCCCAAAAGAGACTTTAAGTCTCTTCACAGGGAAACAACCAATCAGAGGTTTCTTATTGAGAAGCCTCTGACTTTGTCCCCGGGTGCACACGCGTTCGCCACTTGTGCACTGCTGAAACTGGTCTGAGGTCTGTTAGGGAGGGAGGGGAGGCAGGCACCCTCAAGTAGAGTGTGCCTGCCACTTCTGTTAGTTCAGGGGAGCTAACTGAAGTAGGAAGGAATCCTCCCTGGCTGTTTGATTGACAGCCGGGGGAGTACCCTTGTTAATTTATAAAAGTGCTGATTTCACATAAAAATATATTAAATGAGGGTATATTAAATGAGGGTACTCCTCACTCATAAAGCACTTCAGCAAGCTGAAGTGCTTTTGGGGTGTGGAGTGGTCCTTTAAGTCGATTCAATATGTGTTACTTCCTATTCCATTGAATATACACAAAGTCCCATTCCATTCAATATGCATTAAGTCCCATTCCATTCAATATGCATTAAGTCCCATGCCATTCGATAAACATTAAGTCCCATTCCATTCAATATGCATTAAGTCCCATTCCATTCAATATGCATTGAGTCCCATTCCATTCAAAATACATTAAGTCCCATTCCATTCAATATACATTAAGTCCCATTCCATTCAATATGCATTACGTCCCATTCCATTCGATATGCATTAAGTTCCATTCCATTCAATATGCATTAAGTCCCATTCCATTCGATATACATTAAGTCCCATGCCATTCGATATACATTAAGTCCCATTCCATTCAATATACATTAAGTCCCATTCCATTCAATATGCATTACGTCCCATTCCATTCGATATGCATTAAGTTCCATTCCATTCAGTATGCATTAAGTCCCATTCCATTCGATATACATTAAGTCCCATGCCATTCGATATACATTAAGTTCCATTCCATTCAATATACATTAAGTCCCATTCCATTCAATATGCATTACGTCCCATTCCATTCGATATGCATTAAGTTCCATTCCATTCAATATGCATTAAGTCCCATTCCATTCGATATACATTAAGTCCCATGCCATTCGATATACATTAAGTTCCATTCCATTCAATATACATTAAGTCCCATTCCATTCAATATGCATTAAGTCCCATTCCACTCAATATACATTAAATCCAGTTCCATTCCATATACGTTACGTCCTATTCCATTGAATATACACAAAGTCCCATTCCATTCAATATGCATTACGTCCCATTCCATTCGATATGCATTAAGTTCCATTCCATTCAATATGCATTAAGTCCCATTCCATTCGATATACATTAATTCCCATTCCATTCGATATGCATTAAGTTCCATTCCATTCGATATACATTAAGTCCCATGCCATTCGATATACATTAAGTTCCATTCCATTCAATATGCATTAAGTCCCATTCCATTCGATATACATTAAGTTCCATTCCATTCAATATGCATTAAGTCCCATTCCATTCGATATACATTAAGTCCCATTCCATTCGATATACATTAAGTTCCATTCCATTCAATATGCATTAAGTCCCATTCCATTCGATATACATTAAGTCCCATTCCATTCGATATGCATTAAGTCCCATTCCATTCGATATGCATTAAGTTCCATTCCATTCAATATGCATTAAGTCCCATTCCATTCGATATACATTAAGTTCCATTCCATTCAATATGCATTAAGTCCCATTCCATTCGATATGCATTAAGTCCCATTCCATTCGATATACATTAAGTCCCATTCCATTCGATATGCATTAAGTCCCATTCCATTCGATATACATTAAGTTCCATTCCATTCGATATACATTAAGTCCCATGCCATTCGATATACATTAAGTCCCATTCCATTCGATATACATTAAGTCCCATGCCATTCGATATACATTAAGTTCCATTCCATTCGATATACATTAAGTCCCATTCCATTCGATATACATTAAGTCCCATGCCATTCGATATACATTAAGTCCCATTCCATTCGATATACATTAAGTCCCATGCCATTCGATATACATTAAGTTCCATTCCATTCGATATACATTAAGTCCCATTCCATTCGATATACATTAAGTCCCATGCCATTCGATATACATTAAGTCCCATTCCATTCGATATACATTAAGTCCCATTCCATTCAATATGCATTACGTCCCATTCCATTCGATATACATTAAGTCCCATTCCATTCGATATACATTAAGTCCCATTCCATTCGATATACATTAAGTCCCATGCCATTCGATATACATTAAGTCCCATTCCATTCAATATGCATTACGTCCCATTCCATTCGATATACATTAAGTTCCATGCCATTCAATATGCATTAAGTCCCATTCCATTCGATATGCATTAAGTCCCATTCCATTTGATATACAGAAGAGCCCTTGACCAGGAGAACAAGTTTTGAGAACCTCATGACACTGGCGCGTTTAGCTCTAACACCAGATTCTAATAATTCTAATATTTCTAATCATATGTAAATACAAATAAGGGAATTTGTGTAAGAGGAAGAGTTCGGAGGTGTTTAACCCTTTAAGGACTGAACAACTTGTACAAGTTGTCATAAAAACAAAATGTAAACAAAACCTGGCATTTGCGCTAAATGTCTGTTTCTTATTGAGAAGCCTCTGACTTTGTCCCCGGGTGCACGCGCGTTCGCCACTTGTGCACTGCTGAAACTGGTCTGAGGTCTGTTAGGGAGGGAGGGGAGGCAGGCACCCTCAAGTAGAGTGTGCCTGCCACTTCTGTTAGTTCAGGGGAGCTAACTGAAGTAGGAAGGAATCCTCCCTGGCTGTTTGATTGACAGCCGGGGGAGTACCCTTGTTAATTTATAGAAGTGCTGATTTCACATAAAAATATATTAAATGAGGGTATATTAAATGAGGGTACTCCTCACTCATAAAGCACTTCAGCAAGCTGAAGTGCTTTTGGGGTGTGGAGTGGTCCTTTAAGTCGATTCAATATGTGTTACTTCCTATTCCATTGAATATACACAAAGTCCCATTCCATTCAATATGCATTAAGTCCCATTCCATTCAATATGCATTAAGTCCCATTCCATTCAATATACATTAAGTCCCATTCCATTCAATATGCATTACGTCCCATTCCATTCGATATGCATTAAGTTCCATTCCATTCAATATGCATTAAGTCCCATTCCATTCGATATACATTAAGTCCCATGCCATTCGATATACATTAAGTCCCATTCCATTCAATATACATTAAGTCCCATTCCATTCAATATGCATTACGTCCCATTCCATTCGATATGCATTAAGTTCCATTCCATTCAATATGCATTAAGTCCCATTCCATTCGATATACATTAAGTCCCATGCCATTCAATATACATTAAGTCCCATTCCATTCAATATGCATTACGTCCCATTCCATTCGATATGCATTAAGTTCCATTCCATTCAATATGCATTAAGTCCCATTCCATTCGATATACATTAAGTCCCATTCCATTCGATATACATTAAGTCCCATTCCATTCAATATGCATTACGTCCCATTCCATTCGATATACATTAAGTTCCATGCCATTCAATATGCATTAAGTCCCATTCCATTCGATATGCATTAAGTCCCATTCCATTTGATATACAGAAGAGCCCTTGACCAGGAGAACAAGTTTTGAGAACCTCATGACACTGGCGCGTTTAGCTCTAACACCAGATTCTAATAATTCTAATATTTCTAATCATATGTAAATACAAATAAGGGAATTTGTGTAAGAGGAAGAGTTCGGAGGTGTTTAACCCTTTAAGGACTGAACAACTTGTACAAGTTGTCATAAAAACAAAATGTAAACAAAACCTGGCATTTGCGCTACATGTCTGTCCAACCGTAATTCACCTCTTTCATATTAAATGCACCCACCCTTATTATATATCATTTTATTCATGTCACATCAAATATTTATATATTAAACATAATTTAATATGAATAAAATGTAAAAAAAATGTGATTTTTTTTTGTCGTAATTTTTTTAGTAATGCCTGTCATTTTAACTGTGAATTTCATGATACTGTTAGCTGTTACTGCAATACAATGCACATATTTGGATTCAGTGAAGTCTCCCGGGTACAATAGTACCCCCAAGTATAAGTTGTATAGTGTTTTGGAAAGTTACAGGGTCAAATTTAGCACATTGCATTTTTTACTTCATACACATTGAAAATTCCCAGTTTGGTTATGTTGCCTTTGAGACCGTATGGTAGCCAAGAAATGAAATCTACCCCTATGATAGTATACCATTTGCAAAAGAAGACAATCCAAGTTATTGCAAATGCTGTATGTGCAGTCTTTTTTAGTAGCCACTTAGTCACAAACACTAGCCAAAGTTAGCATTCTAATTTGTGTGTGAAAAATGCAAAAAACTGATTTGAACGATAAAATTGGCTAGTGTTTGTGACTAAGTGGCTACTAAAAACAACTGGACATACCCCATTTGCAATAACCTGGGTTGTCTACTTTTGCAAATGGTATGCCATCATAGGGGTAATTCTCGTTCCTAGGCTACCATACAGTCTCAAAGGTAACATAACCAAACAGGCGAATTTTACTGTGAAAAAATGGAAATGCAAGTCTTATATTACTCTGTAACTTTTGAAAACACCATAAAACCTGTACATGGGGGGTTACTGTTATACTCGTGAGACTTCGCTGAACACAAATATTAGTGTTTCAAAACATTACAACTTATCACAAAAAATTATATTGTCAGTGAAAGTGTAATTTGTGTGTGAAAAATGCAAAAAACTGTACTTTCACAGACAATATCATTGTTGTGATACGTTTTCTTGTTTTAAAACACTAATATTTGTGTTCAGCGAAGTCTCCCGAGTAAAACAGTACCCCTCATGTACAGGTTTTATGGTGTTTTGGAAAAAAGTTACAGCGTCAAATATAAGGCTTGTGAACTATATACTCTCGACTTTCTGCCTGAGTTATCAGGCAAGTCCCTAAAATTGTAATTAATTAAATGACTTAATCATGTAAAATATTATATAAATATATATGTAGAATTTAAATCTAAATGTATAAATATTAATGTGTGTATATATATATATATATTTTAAAATATTATTTTTATTTATATATAGCTACATATATGTATTTATAGCATCATTCTAAATGTATTGTGATTTAAATATATATGTATATTAATATCAAAATACAGTTAGAGTGAAAGTATACATGTCTATATTTTTTTTAAATTTAATGTAATTTTATTTTTTATTTAATTTTTTCAGTTTTAAATTTTTTATTGATTATTGTTATATATATAATTTTAATTATATATATATATATATATATATATATATATATATTAATATTAAAATACACTTAGAATAATAGTTTATGTGTGTGTTTGTGCATATAAAAGTACTCAGATCATATATACATATATATATATATATATGTATATATATATATATATATATATATGATCTAAGTACTTTAATTTACTTTATTGAAACTTTTTTTACTTTTACTTACTTTTAAAACTTTTTTACAGGCAGCAGGAGGACAGCCTGAGAGCTCAGGCAGTCCCCCTGCTGGCACTGCATGAGCCGGCTATTCCGGCCATTTGATCGCAAGGACCCCGCGATCACATGGACCTGGAGGGCTGGATCGTGCTGAAGGAGGCTGCCTGAGCTCCCAGGCAGCTCCCTGGAACGCGACCGCCGTCATGGGATCGGCGGGGACCCGGTAAGTCCTCTAGACGGCGGGGACATTCTATGCCGCCCACCAGCATTTAGGACTGCCCAAAAAAGGATGGCATAGAACGCCCGCAGTCCTTAAGGGGTTAAATAGTTACTTACAGCAGTTAATGATCTAGATATATTTAAAACTTCCCTCCATTTTACAGGTTTGCAAAGCTTCTCCTACGACTTCCAGCATTGAGATCTATTGGACTTAAATGCCTGGAGCACCTCTTCTTCTTCAAACTCATTGGTGATACCCCCATAGACACATTCTTAATGGAAATGCTGGAGACACCCCACCAAATCTCTTGATATCTTACTTGCGAAAACCCATCAAGATACTGTATGCATAGCCCAGTGGTGTCTTCTTATGGTTCAGAAACTTGGAGAACGCTATTGATCTAAACACTGGAAAACAGATGTGGACTTGATGGTAACACCTTCTTCACCTCTATTAATATGAATGAAAGTTACAGCACAAACAAAATATAAATTTTGTGTGTTTCTATTTTATAATCTGTGCCATTTTCACTTGAAAATGTATTTGTAGATATTCAGAAAGAGATACATATGGAGCTGGCTGCGTCTAGAAATGTCCATATGGAGAAAGAATGTCCATATAACATCAGCCATTACTAAGTTGTTTGTTTAAAGGGGCTGCTAGGCACCATAATCACAACAATCTAATTTTTTCAGTGTTTGGCACTTACTTGAGTCCACCAGGCATGGCGAAGTCCCTACTGTAGGAGTCTGGGCAGGAGGTGTCAGTGGAAGCACGGAAATGCTAAGCCATTTGAAGAAGATTTGACTACTTACTGCCAGTGCCAGATGGTGCCAGGGGAATCATAGCACCATAACCACTATAGCACACATGACTATGTCATGATCTTTGTGACAGGAGAGATGGGGTAACAGTTTACCGGGTCCTATACAGGCCTATAGTTTGACTCCTACTATAGGAATGGTGAAAATGACTTAGCTCAATGTCTTTATGGCCCCCATGTTTATCCCAGATCTAGGTGGCTTCTTTATGTTACCTCATGATCATTTCACTGTAGTGTTATTTTGTGCTTAGAAGGTCCCTTTAAAGCACCATAACCACTGCAGGGTGCTATAGTGGCCTTGGTTGGTTTCACTTTTTACCTGTGATCTCCTGTGCACTGCTCCCAACCTCCACTACTTCCTATGAAACCCTATGCTATCTGGGCCTGGTGGTGAGGGACTTAGCTCATTGGATAAAAGTGATCAACTCCCAGTCAATGAGCGATCCACTCATTGCAGGGCTCATTGCAGGGCTCATTGCAGGGCTTATCAGACACAAAAATGTTCTAAAACAGTTTGACTGATTGCACTGCTGACACCATAGCCACTACAGCGAGTTGACCTGTAGACAATAAATACTGCTTAGTTGGTTAATGTTTACTGGATTTGTGTAGCTTAGAGAACTTTCTTGCTGATATAATGAAATCACTAATTCCATCCCTTCCTGTCTTGTAGTGGGTTTTCTATTTCATACTGTGATATATTTATTTTATACTATTTCCTATTGTTACCTCATGTTACATGGTCTGTATATTAAACTGAGAGGCTCTGTGTCCTTTTGTACTGTAAATTTTTCACGAAGAGGTACGCAGGTCAGGTATACGGGGCTATTTTCACATTTCATGAATTGTTCTAATAATTACAAGTCAGTTTGGGTGGAATTGACCTATGTCCCCTTATGATCCCTGCTTTGTTCGTTAAAACTGCGTTCACCTAACAAAACCATGAAAGGTCCAGACCGCCAGTATGCTTGTTAACCTCCATTACCTCTGTTAACACTTCCATAATGGTTCACACCTCAGTGTTCTAAACTGTTGGCTGGATGGACATCATTCATATGTAATGCAGGCAGCGGTGTTTGGTCGTCGAGTGTATGGAACTAAAATCGGACACTCTACCTCGCGAACACCGCTGAACTTCCATCTCCGCCTGCATACGTTTCTATACATCTGAGAAGAACACTGTTCGGTGGAATCATTCCCACAAATGAGGGCCACACAATCATCATACGTGTGAAAGCATCCATTTGTTATTTTGTACGTTTTCATGCTCCCAAAAGAGACTGACTGTCAAAACTTTACCCCGGTGGCGATTGGGCTGTGTTCATGGGATCTGAGCGCTTTTCTGATATGTTGTGCACTCAGATCCAGACTATCCAGGGATATAAGTCTTGAGGGGGTACATGGTTGTTTTATGTGTGTTTTGGGGTGTCATGAAAATTGTCGATTTTTCAGTACCTGAGAGATAATTTAATTATATGTTTTTTTCCCAGGTAATTATCTCTCAGGCTCAGAGGATCATGGGAAGGATCACCCTGTAAATTTGTATGGGAAACCCAATGTAGGGGCTTTTGCATAAAAGGCAGTGTGTGGCTCTGAATAAACCAGTTGGCTCCCAGAACTGTGTGTCGTCCGGTTACTGGGTGATTGGGATAGATCTGCTAAACAGTGCTTTTTTCCAGCTTCTGAGAACACCACTGGAAATTTTGGATTTTATTATTATGATTACCTAATCCATCCAGAAAACCCACCTTTAATGTTGTTTACCAGCCTATGTTATTTAATTGATCTGGTTTGTTACAAGGGTTCGACTACATGTCTAGTGTTCTAACTCCAAACTCTTGTCTTGTCTGCCTGTCACGACTATTTTGAAGCGACATAAAAATAAAGATTGTCAAAAAAAGAAGTAATTTTATAGGAGCACTTTAAACACCATGACAACTACTGGGCCCTGGCACCATTGTAAGAATTTTACTTCTTACCTGGGGTTCTCTGTGCACTGCTCCCTTTGTCCACTATTTCCCATGGAGAGGTCTCTATCTGAGCTGAGGCCTGCAGTGCATGGGATGGTTTATTGACTGAGTGCAATCAGCTGACACTCTCCACCAATGAGCTAGCAGAGGTAAGGAAAGCTAACAGTGCCTCCATCTCACCATAGGAAGTAGTGGGAAGTCATGACCGAAGAAGGTAAGAAATCACATGGGTTGGTTTGTTGGCTGAGTGCAATCAGCTGACACTCTCCATCAATGAGCTAGCAAAGCTCAGGAAAGCTAACGGAGCCTCCGTCTCACCATAGGAAGTAGTGAGAAGTCATGAGGGAAGAAGGTAAGAAATCACATGGGTTGGTTTGTTGGCTGAGTACAATCAGCTGACACTCTCCATCAATGAGCTAGCAGAGCTCAGGAAAGCTAACGGGGTCTCCGTCTCACCATAGGAAGTAGTGGGAAGTCATGACCGAAGAAGGTAAGAAATCAAATGGGTTTGTTTTTTGGCTGAGTGCGATCAGCTGACACTCTCCATCAATGAGCTAGCAAAGCTCAGGAAAGCTAACGGAGCCTCCGTCTCACCATAGGAAGTAGTGAGAAGTCATGAGGGAAGAAGGTAAGAAATCACATGGGTTGGTTTGTTGGCTGAGTACAATCAGCTGACACTCTCCATCAATGAGCTAGCAGAGCTCAGGAAAGCTAACGGGGTCTCCGTCTCACCATAGGAAGTAGTGGGAAGTCATGACCGAAGAAGGTAAGAAATCAAATGGGTTTGTTTTTTGGCTGAGTGCGATCAGCTGACACTCTCCATCAATGAGCTAGCAAAGCTCAGGAAAGCTAACGGAGCCTCCGTCTCACCATAGGAAGTAGTGAGAAGTCATGAGGGAAGAAGGTAAGAAATCACATGGGTTGGTTTGTTGGCTGAGTACAATCAGCTGACACTCTCCATCAATGAGCTAGCAGAGCTCAGGAAAGCTAACGGGGTCTCCGTCTCACCATAGGAAGTAGTGGGAAGTCATGACCGAAGAAGGTAAGAAATCACATGGGTTTGTTTTTTGGCTGAGTGCGATCAGCTGACACTCTCCATCAATGAGCTAGCAGAGCTCAGGAAAGCTAACAGAGCCTCCGTCTCACCATAGGAAGTAGTGGGAAGTGGTGATCAAAGAAGGTAAGAAATCAAACTGTCCTTAAAAGGATTGACTACTTACAATGGGCGAGCGCTAGGGTACTCCTGTCACTGTAACCACAGCGAGTGATCATAGTGTTTGGAGTGTTCATATTAATTCTAGGCTAAAATAGACAGGCTGAGTAAAGAGGGTTCGTAGCCTAAAATGTAAAATTCAGTTTGGGGCAATTCACTAAACATTGATTGGAGTGAACTGAAAACTGAATGATAAAATTAAGACTCAAAAAAGGCAAACTGTGATTTTTTTTTTTCAAAATCAAATATTTTGGCCAAACAGAATAATTTGGCACGAGTTTTAGTTAAGTGTTCTTGCATAGCAAGACCACTTATTGTTATCCCACATACATATTATTATTATTATTACTATAGCCAAATTTACCACCCTAACTCCTCCCACAGTTTTTACACTACATAGACAGTAATATACCGAAACGTGAGGATTGTTCCCGATTGGTGTGCTATTACTTTGTGGAACGTTTCGCCAAATGGTTCACGGAATATCGTCATTCTTGTGGCGAAATTGATCCCATAGGAATGAATGGCAAAATTTTCAAAACTAGAGTGGGAGCTGGCAAAAGCTGAAAAATCAGGACATGATTTCTAAACTACCACCACTCCCTCATTTTCAAGCCCAACTACACAAATCTTATATCAAAACGTTCAGATATCCCTGCTGCTAAAAATGTCCACGGCTAAGCCATAGTCCTGATCGTTTTCACAATATGACCATTTGTTTGCAACTCATGCTGTCCATTGACATTCATTGAAACGTCACTCTAGCCAGCTCAAACTTAAAGTGCAATTTCTAAACTGCGACTGTGCCTTCATTTTTAATACTTCAGAGACATACTATGCATCAAAATGTAGGTCTGGGTCTTGTGATTCTCACATTATAAAGCTCTTCGCTGTAGGATTTATAGTTTTTAAAATACCACCGTTTGAAGATGGCAACCGCCAAAATACTCTGACCTGTGCCAGGCTGGAGCAACAAGTGATGTCATAGACAGGGCCTTTTGTACACCTGCTAATGTTTTTGTAAATGTATGTTTTAATGTAACTGTGAAGCACTTTGGGCATCAATGTTGCAATTAAATGTGCTATATAAATAAATAATAACAGTTACTCCACACACTCCAGTTGTAGACAACTGGTGGAGGCAAGAACACTTCACACAATTTCCCCAGAAATTGTAGCTTTTCTAGTTATTATTATTATTATGTTATTATTTAGAAAGCGCCATCAAATTCTGCAGCGCCATCAAATGGGTGGACAAACATACATTTAGTTGTAACCAGACAAGTTGAACACACAGGAACAGAG